AAAGGTTAACCCCTTACAATTTTTGATTTTTCATACAAATCTAATTTTTTCCAATTTTGCTAAAAAAGCAAGGTTAACTCTTTACATCTGAAATTTTTCAGAAACATCTGCTTTTGCCTAATTTTGCTAAAAATGCAAGGTTCACCCCTTACAATTTGAGATTTTTCATGAAAATCTGATATTGCCCAGTTTTGCTAAAAAAGCAAGTTTAACCCCTTACAATTTGAAATTTTTCATTCACATCTTATTTTGCCAAATATCACTAAAAAAGCAAGGTTAACCCCTTTCAATCTGCAACTGTCCAGAAACATCTGATTTTGCCCTAATTGGGCAAAAGTTAACCTCTTACAATTTTTGATTTTTCATACAAATCTGATTTTCCCAATTTTGCTAAAAATGCAAGTTGAACCCCTTACAATCTGAAATTTTCATAAATACCTGATTTTGCCCTATTTTGCTAAAAAATGCAAGGTTCACCCTTACAATTTGAGATTTTTCATGAACATTTAAATTTGCCCAATTTTACTAACAAAGCAAGGTTAACCCCTTACAATTTGAAATTTTTCATTCACATCTTATTTTGCCAAATATCACTAAAAAAGCAAGGTAAACCCCTTACAATCTGAATTTTCCAGAAAGATCTGATTTTGCCCAATTTCGCTAAAAATACAAGGTTCACCCCTTACAATTTGAGATTTTTCATCAACATCTAACTTTGCCAAATTTCACTAAAAAAGCAAGGATAATCCCTTACATTTGAAATTTTCCATAAACATCTGATTTTGCCCAATTTTACTAAAATGCAAGGTTAACCCCTTACAATTTGAAATTTTCCATAAACAGCTGATTTTGCCCTATTTTGCTTAAAAAATGCAATCTTAACCCCTTACAATTTGAAATTTTCATAAACACCAAATTTTACCAAATTTCACTAAAGAAAAAAGTAAGGTTAATTCCTTACATCGGAATTTTTTGATTTTGCCCAATTTTGCTAATATATGCAAGGTTCACCTCTTACAATTTTGATTTTTCATACAAATCTGATTTTCCCAATTTTGCTAAAAATGCAGGGTGAACCCTTTACAATCTGAAATTTTCCATGAACACCTGGTTTTGCCGTATTTTGCTAAAAAATGCAATGTTAACCCCTAACAATTTCAAATTTTTCATGCACATTAAAATTTGCCCAATTTTACTAAAAAAGCAAGGTTAACCCCCTTACATCTGAAATTTTTCAGAAACATCTGATTTTGCCCAATTTCGCTAAAAATGCCAAGTAAACCCCCTACAATCTTCAATTTTCAAGAAACATCTGATTTTTCCCAATTTCGCTTAAAAAAGCAAGGTTAACCCCTTTCAATCTGCAACTTTCCAGAAACATCTGATTTTGCCCTAATTTGGCAAGGTTAACCTCTTACAATTTTTGATTTTTCATACAAAACTGATTTTGCCTAATTTTGCTAAAAAATGCAAAGTTAACCCCTTACAATCTGAAATTTTCCATAAACACCTGATTTTGCCCTATTTTGCTAAAAAAATGCAAGGTTAACCACTGACAATTTGAAATTTTTCATAATCATTTAAATTTTCCCAATATTACTAAAAAAGAAAGGTTAACCCCTTACAATTTGAATTTTTTCATACACATCTTATTTTGCCAAATTTTACTACAAAAGCAAGGTTAACCCCTTACAATCTGAAATTTTCCAGAAAGATCTGATTTTGCCCAATTTCGCTAAAAAAAATGCAAGGTTCACCCCTTACTATTTGAAATGTTTCATAAACATCTCAATTTTACTAATAATGCAAGATTTACCCTTACAAGTTGCAATTTTCCAGAACATCTGATTTTCCCCAATTTTGCTTAAATGTAAGGCTAACTCGTTGCAAACTGTTAAATCATACATGAAGTGTCCCATTTGACTTTTTTTAAAACAAATTATTTTTCCAGTTTTTAGGGTAAAGGAATTTTCTCTTTTTCCTTTCTCTTTTGTTGTTGCTATATCAAAGTTTGCGAATTAACTCATTCGTATGGAATGTTCATAGTCAATCAAAGAATATTTCACACATAGGGGCCTAAATTATATATTTTTAAATTTAATAGAGACGCATTGATCGTGCTATCATATACCATTCTAATACCATTGCGAATTACTGTATTGTTCGGAATGCTCACAATTAAAGACACGTTATTTGAAAGATGTATAAATAATATTTATATTACAATGTACATCTTTATTCTTTCCCGGTATAATTTATGGCGTTTCTTACGTCAATTGGCAATCGCGTCATTTTATAATAATAGGCAGATTGATCAAACGAAACTCCGTTTTGATTATAGTCAATTATGAAATATTCATATACATACACCTTTGTTTCAATTTTGATACTACCCGTAGACCTGCCGAGCAGCTGTAGATATCAAACAAAACCAAAGTATAAAAGATAGAGGGTAAAAAAAACCCAAAAAGTTATGTGCTAGTCAAGCTTTCAGGGATCGGTCTGAGCCATAACAATGCCCCAGCCGATCCCTTAGTTCTCTTCCGGGGTCTCGGCGTCCCCGACCAATACACACTTCCTTCCCTATCCATCCATATAACCCCGGAGGGTCAGGCACCATGTAAAAGCAAAGAGCTAAGGGAGGAACAGGGCGGCCCCTAAGCCCTGATCCTCCGAGTGGACCACATGCCCTGAACCTGTACGAAGGCGCCAACCTGGAACTCGCGGACAGTACCAGCAGCAGTGCTTACCGATTAAGCTAAGGTACTGTTGGTACTTTACGACGGGAAATTAAATCTCTTAAAGTGAATAATTGAACTCATTCGTTAAAAACTAAAAAGACACCAGCGGGATTCGAACCCGGGACCCCGCTAACCGTGGACGACGAATCGTAACCACTCTCGGCCATTTCGTTACCTTAGAATTTTCCTTAAACTGAGAAAAGTTGTCTTTAGGCCCTATAGGTGAGCAAACGCGCCAGGAAGATTACTGGGTCCATTTGCTTTACCTTAATGGGTAAAAACAAGTCGATATAATGAGCCCAGTGTGTTTAGTTTGTTAGGAAGCTGCATAACACAGCCTAATGTGCAAAACAGTCGTGCGCTAGGCGGATCATTACGCAACAATGAACACCGCAATTGTGTATTTTCAAAAGGCAGACGCGTAGATTTCTACTCTTTGTATCTGGGCACATTATAGATTCTCACCTCCCTCTTGAGCTATTTCGACTTTCTCAAAAGAAAAATAGAGACTGACAGCGAATCTCCGGGAGTTGAAATAAGGATCGTCCCCTCGATAGACCTCAGACTCAGTAAAGTTCAACATTGGGCTCTTTTTCAACAGCTGTTTTTGCGGAAACTTTACATCTGGATTTTTTAGAAGCATCTGATTTTGCCCAATTTTAGTAAAATATGCTCCAAATTTTGCTTAAAAAGCAAGGTTAACCGCTTACCATTTTAGATTTTTCATACAAATCTGATTTTGCCAAATTTTATTAAATATACAAGGTACACCTGATACAATTTAAAATTTTTCATAATCATTTCTTTTTGCCCAATTTTGCTAGAAATACAAGGTTAAGCCCTAACAATGTGCAATTTTCTAGAATCATCTGATTGTGTCCTATTTTGCAAAAAAAAAATGCAAGGTTAATTAACCCCTTACAATTTGAATTTTTTTCATGAACATCTAATTTTCCCCAATCTTATTCAAAAGCAAGGTTAACCCCCCCCCCCCCCCCACTGAGATTTGAGTTTCTAAAAAAATTATCATTGATCTACATGACGCCCCCCATGAAATGTTCCAGCCCCCCCCCCCCCATTCCTATCCACTAACGACACAAGGGGTCATCAATAAGATCAGAACCAGGTTATGTGAGGAAATTCTCCTTCGTGCACCGATCAGTATCATTAAGTCTTTTCAGGCTAGATTAGACAAGCTCTGGGCATCTCGACCATTCAAGTTTGACTTTGAAGCGCCAACCCCACTTACATGCGCACATACCAATTTAACCAGAGTTATGAAGATCTGATGAGAGAGGCCTACAAAGGCCTAATATCAGAAGAGGACCTGTAAGTACCAGTAAGAACTAGATACGTTAACGTAACCGCCCCCCTCCCCCCCCCCCAAAAAAAAAAATTGGACCGCGGCCGGCGCCACTGAAGAGATTCTGGTCTACTTTATTTCCCGAAAGATGCCCCCCCCCCCCAAAAAAAAAGTGGCTGCAGATATGAAATTGATGTTGCAGTGCCGGGGGACAGCGAGAAGAATGATGCGGTGGAGACGAGGATGACTTGTCACAATCATGGTCCTCTGCCTACTGGAGCCGACTGCGGCACGCAGGTACCTCATCCCGACTTACCGAATTAAGGGCGTGACTTGCATGTGACGCCTGCCGCGGCCGGCTACTATTTATATACGGAGAAGGGGCAGGAAAAGGCTGCGGAATGGTTCGTCGAGTTGTTGCTTTTACTATACTGTAGGCCTTCAGCTATTTATGAATATCTGAAGAAGACATTTCCACACGCAGTGCGCAAGTTATGTATCCAGTGCAGATTTTGCTGACTTACTTACAGGAAATGGAGATGAGGATCAAGGGCGGATCCAGAATTTTTGGTCCCCCCAAAAAGTGGGTCAAAAAATTACGGCGTGGGGTTCGGGACCCGCTTAAGGGCCCCGAAATTTTTTTGGATTCTAGATGCTCTGTGGTGCGATCTGAGGCAATTTCTGACCACTTTAACCAATGCTTTTTTGAGGAAAAGATGGTGGTGTACATGTACTCATTGCCTGCCTTTATTGCGACGTCACATAAAAAAAAAAAAAATGGTTTCGTTTGGGGGGGGGGGCAATGGCCCCCTTTGCCCCCCCCCCCCCCCCCCCCCCTGGATCCGCCCTTGATGAGGATAGGAGCGCCGATCACCCGTGACATGGTCACCGGACAGGTCACGTGCGAAACGCCACTGTCTTGTTATCACGTCACGGATCGGAGACGGTGTTTGTTATGTACAGCTATACTAGCACTCAGCAGGCAGGAGACGGCGCGGCGACGGCCTGATGTTTTTCTTTTACTAGTACTTGGCCTATCAATCAATGCTGCGCGTGCAATGGCGTACGTGCCTACATGTGCACATATGCAGTGTAGCCAAGCCAATAACATCTTTCACAATCTTTGATATAGCGTTGATAACTAGTTGTGGATTAGCGAAGCTGCGGATTGCAACTGCTTGGAACTGATGACATCGTACGTCAACGTATAGTCGCTATAGTATAGGCCTACTTGAGTTTGGTGCCACTTGCATGACTTGCGGTAGTACCGTACCGGTACAGTGACAGTGCTAGATGTTCCGAATCAGTTGTCATTCCTGCGTGCCATGCATCGATTCAACAAGTAATCGGTCGCTTGTATAAATCGGATGGTGTGTCGACAAGTCTGAACTGAAGCAAGGGAAGGCACTCAGCAGGATGGGTGCTGTCACAGGTAAATTATTTGCTGTGCTATTTCACCTTTTAAAATAGCTGGCAGTATTTGGAAAGAATGTTGCAACCTGATCATCATGCCAATTTCACCTTCATATGTCATCTCAATCATGTCAATAGAGGTCAGTCATTGCAAAAATGTTGAACATGAATCTGGGACTGAGAAAAAGTTCAAATTTTGTTATAAAATACCGTGAACATTTTCTTGACTCTCCAGTCCAAATACTTTGTTCACAACCCACTTCGGTAGCTCGATTGATGATTACACGTTCAATTGTTGTGCCGGGAATCCTGGTTTGAAACTGCTGCCGCACTGCTCAATGTTTTTTGTTTTAATTTTATAATTTTCTTCACTGTCATATTTCTCTGTTAATTACATTGTAAGTAGAATTCCTTTTCTTCTTCTTAATCTGTGGCTTTGGATGATTTTTTTTTTATAAAGGGAAATATAAAGTTTGAGGACCATTTGGTTGAATGATTGTCTGCTTTCAACAGCCAAAGATCCTTTTGCTCACAAATTCAGAGGAAAGTAGCCAGGAAATGCCTCAGATTGCACCACAGAGCATTTAGAAGCGATTCCACGCAGTAAGGCATCACGCTCCGGGCTCACATAAAAAGTTCCACTTTGGTGGTTAGACACCCCCCCCCCCCCTCCCTCCCCCCCCCCTCCCCCCAGTCTGGGATCAGGGAACGGGCCTTGGATTATTAGCGACAAGGCATGCACATTAAATGTTTCAAGATAGTATAATCAAAAATCCAAAACAGCAAAATGTTAACCAATTTTATGCAGGTCTCCAAAAATGATAAAATGTACGTAGGTATAGTTTGCTCAATAACCTAAAAGTTTGTTGCACTTCAAGTAGCAATCAGCTCAGCTGACTGACTGCACGATTCCTGTAAACAGGCAGACCTTGACCTTACACACAATGTACTGTGCCTTGATACTGTGCTAAATTTGATACTGGCTGACCCGAAACACAATAATGCATTGTTGTTGAGCTTGCCATATGTAGGCCCTACACGTATGCGTATTGCGAAAGAAAAAGTTCGAAATATTCTCCACATACATGTATCTCTAGCATGTATGAGCAACACAGAGCTAAGCATGGAGTTACTAGCCAGTGATGCCAAGAACAAACTAATACATTACAAAAGAAAATTGTTAAAATGTATGAAGGCTATATAAAGCAGACTTCATTAATTGGTGGAGTTTGCTTGGTACATCTAATTCTGTTAAACAATAATGGTGTTCACCAACAAGAACCATTGAATTTGCAGTTTGTTTTATAATGTGTATTTTATCTTGATGTTAAAGTTTCAGTTGAGGCCTGTTAATTTAGTTTTTGAAAAATAACATGCAGCATTCACACTAGTGCTACAGTTGTTTCTGTACAAGTCATAAAAAGATATTACTATAGCTCTGAAAACAAAGACAGGTGTTTTGCAAAACACTACAAAAAAAGAAAGTCCACACTCATTGGTGGGGTCATAGTTTTGAATCTGATTGTCATATGATGACGTTATTTATAGACTTATGTGGAATTGTGTTACTGTTAGCTACATTTTGATACCCCTTTCGCTACCAAAGACTGTAAATTGTAGCTAACAAAATTCCCCAAAGGTCTATATATAAATGATATCATCGTAAGATGAACAGACTTTACAATTTACATGTATGACCCCTCCAATGAGTGTCAACCTGTTTTGCGGCGATTACATTCTTGCTCCATGATCTGATAGGACTAATTTTTCTCCAATCTGTGATGCAAATTTATGAGAATACAAGGGTACATTGTCCTTGCTTTGTGTGTTCAGCTTCTGATAAGGTGATTAAAAGCAAAGCTGCTGATCAGATATTGCATAAGAAGTCAACAGTGATTAGGGGACCTGTGTTAAAATCTGTATACAGGCAATGTCACAGTTACATTGGTGTATACATGGGTTGCCTGTATATTCTGGATTTTTTACTCGGGTGGAGCCTCGTAAACCCTGGTCCCTACCAGGGTTGGATGTTACCCGTGTAGAGTACCAGCACCCGATTTCACTTATGTGACGGGTCTTAAGTTACGATGAGTTTAATGAAATCGGGTGTAGACCCATGTAGAAGCCGTGTTTAATAGGTTTTTTGCGAGTGAGAAAAGGGTTCCCTATTAAAAATCTCCAAGTTAGACGACAATTTTTAAAGTATTTACTAACAAAATTGGAAATGTTTCTCAGTCCCAGATTCATGTCTTATCATCATTTTTGCAATGAATGACCTTCATTTAGATGATATAAGGAGGAAAAAAGTGGCATCAGGTTGCAACACTTTTTCAAATGAAATTACCTCGCTTTCAGTTTAATATGGCCAACTTGTCTATTCAGGTCCTGAGTGTCAAAGAGTGTGAAAGAAATCTTCTTTTCTTTCTTTTTTTTTCCCATCAGATGGAAAATATTCCCATGGGAATGGAAAAGACAACAATAACGACAGTGCACCAGGATCCAGTAACTTTAGTCGAGTGCTCATCAGGGGTGTGTTGGTGTTCATTCTTGGAGGTTTGTTTTTATCCTATACAACTCGGATGTTCACTGGATCCAGCGCCATCACTAAAAATGAACAGGCGCAATTTTGGAGGTACGTTTTAATGCCTATATGGGCTGTTTCAGGAGAAGGATATTTACGTTGTTTTTTTTTACAAGTGTTGTCGTAGTCAAATCATATTGCGGTTAAATAAAGAAATATTTCCTCAAATCCTTTTGTTTTGGAAATTTTTATTGGAAAATACAACGTTTGCTTTGATGTAACTTTCAGAAATGGATGGATTTGGGGGGTTTGTATTTTGTAGCAAAAACTGTTACACTGACTTGTTTGAGGTTTTGTGCTTGTACAATTAATGTAGATGCTGGAAAAACCAAGAAAAACAATCACGTTCCTGTAGTCTGGTTCCCTGAACCAGGCTCCACTGTAAATATCTCACTTTTTTGTTCTGAATCATCAGGGAATAAATATAACGGAAAAGTACTGTTGTGTAGACATGTACATATATGTATTTCTTTTGGCGCGCCTCTTCTAGAACCTTGTGAATCAACCATGTAAAATGCACCAGTGTGTTTTGAACTGCATACCTTGTACATAGGTCATTCCACTGGGTTGGGAAGCAGTGCATGTTACATCCATATATTTGGTTATATTATTAAAGGTATCAATGCATTCTAAACAATTGCTCAACATAATATTTGTCTTAGGGTGTTTCAATACTTGAGAAAGTTTGAAATTATTTGAAAGTATTTTGACAAAAATATGAGCAAAAATGTATTAATTCGGACGTAACATTGACACCGTGTAAATGTTAATCCAAATTTTCTTTTTTTGGCCATTTTTTACATGTATGTAAAATATTTCACAAACTGACATTGCATATTTACAACTGGACACCTAAGCACCAGAAAAAGCTTTTGTTTTGGTATAGTCGGGGTTCAAATATAGCAGAAACAATACCTCAAGTGTGGATGTAACGGTGTAAAAATCACTCAATGGAAGTGTGACATTTGGGTTTTACACCGTGTCAATGTTACATCCACACAACCAAGCTTTCATATCTGCTCCATTTGATACCTGACTACCGTAACAAAAGCTTTTCTTATTGTGTTGCATCTATAGTAAGAAGTACGCAAACTGAATTTAGGTAATGTTTTGCAGAAATTTTAAAAAAAGGTACAAATGTCATATTTGGACGTAACACTGATACGGTGTCAATGTTACGTCCAAAATGACATTTTTTGCTCATCTTTTTGGCAAAATACATTGAAATGATTTTAAACTTTTCTGCAGTAATGAAACGCACAACAACAAATATTATGTAGGGCAACTGCTTTTTCTTATTGTGTTGCATCTATAGTAAGAAGTACGCAAACTGAATTTAGGTAATGTTTTGCAGAAATTAAAAAAAAGGTACAAATGTCATATTTGGACGTAACACTGACACGGTGTCAATGTTACGTCCAAAATGACATTTTTTGCTCATATTTTAGGCAAAATACATTGAAATGATTTCAAACTTTTCTGCAGTAATGAAACGCACAACAACAAATATTATGTAGGGCAACTGCTAGCAAGGCATTCATACTTTTCTTAATATGGTCATATGTCACACATTGTTCCCCAACCCGGTGGAATGACCCACATACATGTACATGTTGTATGTATGTGCACAAAAACTGCAGCAATGTACAATGTAAGTTAAATAGGTGGGTGGTCTAGTAACAAAAAACATCTACTCTACCAAAAGGTGCTTGTCCCCACTCAGGGAAAAATTAGAGATAACACATCTTGGGTTCTTCAGACCAAGTTTGACCTTGTCAACGTTTTCTGTCAGAAATTGAAACAGAAACCTAGATGCAACATAATAATCAGTGTTTGTTCTGTGATTATCTTTTATTGGTTCAGTGTAAATAACAATTGTGAAACCACCCCTTCCTGGAGGAGGGTGTAGAAATGTATTCAAACAGAACGAGGGCAAAGATTGTAGCTAACAAGCCAGCTCAGTTTCGAAAGGCTAGAGGATCAATTGATGGATCAATTGTGCATTGTTCACGTGCTGTGTGCCCAGGTTGAGGCTAATAACAAAGGAATACATTTAGTACACAATAATTACATTTTATGAAATTTCGCAGAATGTGTGTATGTTAAAGGTACTGTGTAATATACAACGTTTGCTTTTGCTGTAATTTTCAAAATGGACGGATTTGGGGGTTAGTATTTTATAGCAAATATTAAACACTGACCCCTCCTATCGTGGTCGTAATTTTGTGTTTATGGATGCTGGAAAAAAGCAATGAAACACTGTTCTTGTAGTCTGGTTCCCTAACTAAATTTGGTCAATTGGGGGCAATAACAAAAAAGCAAAAAAAACGGGTTTTTTTTAAGTACATGTAAGTCGGCTAAGCTTTCGTTGGAAATTGATACAACGATTTCACTTTTCTTGAAAGTGACAGCACCCCAGGTGCCATGATTTCACATGATGCTTGGGACTATTATTCACTTACAGTCAAGTAAGGTGTTTTATAGTTTGGTAGTTTGTTTGTTGGGTGTTTGTAAAAATATTGAATATATTACTTTGAAATTCCGCATTTTTTTTAAAGTCCATTGCCTGCCTGACCGTCTATGGAACATTTGGCCATGCAAATTCGTAGTCAAAATAACTGTTAGACTTTGAAAAGGCTTTTATCTGTCTCCCTTTCTCACTCTAGAGTGGACAGTCTCACACAGACGGAGATAGTTGTCAACACCCACAGACGCACTCAGCCAGAGGCAACCGGTCTGAACCGCAACAAAACTGTGCCATTGTCACAATCAGACAGTGTAGAAACTGATAAACAGAATGTTACACAGGGTACGGGGCCAGCGAGTGATGACATCATCAGGCCCATTACTATGGATAAACATAATGACAGCAGCATTAGCAGCAGCGGTCGAGGCAATGATGCAATCCAAACTATATTCTCAACCTTACAGTTATCGTAAGTGTTACAGATCAGCTTGATTAAGTGGTCATTATTTGCCAATTCAACCATTTTTTTCAATAACCGTAGTTAATTTGATTAAACGTACCCCTTGTTCTTCAAAAATTGATTTTTTTTCTCCATTCTAAAAATCTAAATTTCAATTAGAAATTTTTGTTTTAATGGGAAAAACCAACTTTATTCTTATTTCGGGCATCTGCAACCCCAGAAGAAAGGGCTTTCATTTTGCACACATATAAACAGACCCTGTGAGAGTCGAGTTATTGTCTGGCAGTCAATAATTTGAATTTTGGGAAGAAATAATTCAATAACTAAACGTCGATGGATTTTTTTTGTTCGATGTCTCATTCATAAGTGAATTGCTAGGAAAATAGCAATTGAAACAACAAATCTATTTTTCAAAGTGAAAATCGAAAATATCACGACGAATGCATCTTTAAGTCATAAATTTTAATTTAAGTCCAAATAGATAAAATCGTGAATGGTATTACTTTGAATGGTATTACAATTTTTATTTGTAGTAAGCCATAGACTTCTTTATGACACATTTCATATTCTTCTATATCAATATCAGGAACTTTAAGATTTGAGGTTGAAATCATCGTAAATTTTGTAAAAAAAGTCCCTGTGTCATATCAACAAAGTGGAGCAATGTTTGCACCACAATTTCAGTCACAGTTCACAAAAGTACTTCATGAAATTTGGGCAATCCGTTTACATTGACATGTTGTTATTGAAACAAAATCAGAATGAAGTGATATTTTTTGGGAAAAAGAAATTGTGTTTATGTTTCATCTTCAGATATACGGACATCAAGCTTGGAGAGGATAACGGGATACCAACAGTGCAATTTCTTGACGTCAGTGAAGCGCTGAAACCATTACTAGGTACTGTCAAACATTCAGAGGTATTCCCAATTAAAGTAATGAGATGCAAGCATAAAGAACTGATTGAATCTATCTCGGCTGTGTAGAATTTGTTTCCCTGAGACAAATAACTATAACAAATTATTACAGACGAATAATTACAGCAAAAGGGCATTACATGTACTTAGCTCCATTACATGGCAGCAAAAAAATTATTTCCGTCTAATAACACTGAGCAGCATAACAGACAGGAACAAGAATAGCATGCTCTGAAATGTCTCTCAGTTCTTCAACGTTGAAGTGAATGATTGATGCAGCCAGATTTCAATAAACTGTTGCCTTCTGGCAGAATGGCTTGCTTTAATGGCACAGAGCTTGTGCCAAGCTTTGCCAGTTTTGCCCTAGTTGTGTGACTTTCTATGGGATCTCCCTGCCATTGTACTTGTTTGCAACAATGCTATTATTGCTGTAAAACAACAAACTGACCACTGCCCCCAAATAAAGACAATGCAAAATTTAGACCCTGCTAATAACATTTGGCAGGATAGCTCATTTGGTAAAGAGCCATTGAGTTTGATATCGCTTTTTTTTCTTCTTTTTTTATCCTGTTTCAGGTAGTTTTCTCTGTTAATTCTGTTAAACTTTTTTCCTCTACAGATGCAGTAGGATCTTCCGTGAGTCTCATTGAAGGTGACATAGGAGGCAATGCCCAGGTAAGTGTACAACTCACCACAGTTGGGAAAAATGTTACCAAACAGCATCCAATACCCAGTGGCGTATCTGGTTCATTAGTGTGACGTCATCTCAATTCAACCATGCATACTTCACATGGTGTAGCATAGCACAAATGGAACCGGAAGTTAACGCACTTCCAACGTTTATCTAATGGGCGCTAGTGATCAGTGGAGCATGCGGGTGTATTACCTTTTACTAATGAGCTGGATAGAGCGAGCTAAATAGATAATTTTGCTTTGTTGGGGGGGGGGGGGGAGGGGGGCAAACAGCCTCTCCATGTTGGAATACAACCAGGATTTGTGTTCTGGTCAGCTGGCCGCCGCAACATAAAGGGGGGGGGGAGGCTGGACATAATCTGGATTTTGGATATGCTGTTCAACATAGACAATATTGGACACCATTGGGCAATATAGGTGGCGCTCTTCATTGCATCAAGTCAACAAAGCTGTGAAAGTTTTTTTCTGAGGAGGGAGGATCAGTATGGCACCATGCCCCCCCCCCAAAAAATATGCTACTGCTGACACCCCTAAAAATGCAAAACATTGCCAGACATTGATTTTGACATTCTGTTAATTCCACATATGACAGATACATGTATATATCCCCTATCAGAATGTTTACTCTACTTATCTTGCAGAAACTTAGGAAGTGTTATGATGAGACCCCAACTCAGTGCCAAACCATTCAAGACATGTTGACCTATGACATCAAGATGGGCAGAGCGGAAGAGGACGAGCGCTCGGTGGTATCCCTTACGTGGTTCAAAAGGTGAGGGAAGTGGATCAATTGAAGTAATTGTATTGTAACGAAATCCCTTAAAAGATTCAGCCACAAATAATTTATGGTGAATAAATAAAGATCAGCTACTCAAATTAACAACTGAAATCAATTGATTGTTGACTTCCTCAGTTGCCACGCAAGACTTTTTGGCGGGTTTTATGTTTTAGGTAGAAAACATTTTAAATAATGGCAACAATATTCACAGGCCATGTGCACAAGAAACATACAAATCAGGAGAAAAGGAACGGCTGCAACAGACCAAAGGTTTAAAAGGCAAATATACAAAACTTACTTTACAGAACCAAAGTAGAACACAGGCACATCCCATATATAAGTGGTCGGGGGCAGATCCAGGCATTTTGGGAGGGGGGGGGGGTGTCATGCCCGTCAGATTTTTTTTCATGTCCAAGTTTGCAGACAGGCGAACATAGGTAATGTAGCACATTGTGACTGATGCACTTATTGTTATAAGTTTGTGTGCGTGTCAGAGCTGGAAGGGGGCGGTACAATCCCCAACACCCCCCTCTGGATCCACACCTGGTGGTTTATCTGATATGAAGGGTGTGCAAACTTCACTGGCTGTGTGTCTAATGTTTTGGACAGATTAAATATTTTCCAGGACAGATGCAAGATAACATAGCAAGGGGAAACAGTTTATAACAAAAAAGTTTGATCTGGTACTCAAACTCAAGGGATTTACCACTTTTTTTAATTTCAGAGCTTTTGAATTCATTAAAAAATTAATGGTCTACATAGCAAATGGAGCTGAGCCATATGACGCAGCTAGTAAGTATTTCATTTCAGTTGACTTAAAAACTAAGAACATATCCACATCAGGTTGTACAGTGGAACGCCGCTTTACCAAACATCGCTATACCAAACATCATCCTTGGATCCTGATTTTTGTGTACAAAACATGCCAAACATTGTTGCTGACAAATTTTAACAGAGGAGCGACAAGTGGCTATTATTTCCTTAAGGAATATAAGGGAAACACCACCTGTTGCTGTAGGTAGTAAACTCAAATACTGTGTAATTACATGATTCAATAGTCGGCATGTGTTCAAAGTCGTCTTACAGTAACTACCAGGGCGTGCAGGGTGAAGTTATGAAGGGCACTTTAGCAACGGCAGCTTAAAATCGGTGTCCCGAACGATAGCTTTTACGAACCATTTCTGTGGATCCTGCGATAGCAGTGTTCCACCGTATCAGAAGTTCTCTTTTGTCCACAATTTTGTTCATTCCACAAAACAGCACTTGGTTGTTTTGTAATTACAAGCGGGAAGTTTAATCGCTTGTGATCACAGACCTGAAATGTCATGACCCACATCTGGAGCACTTGTCACAGTACGTGTAGTTATAAAAAGCGTTCCTCCAAGTATAAAGCTAATAGCCCTTATGCATTGCAGGTACTTCACAGTGTTTTCTGTTGTTTTAAAGAGGTTGTGGAATGCTTGAAGACATTTCCGTCATTTTTCGGGTACATGTAGCCTATTAGTTGTGATGAAATAAAAACGTCTATTTGTCATGAAACGAGTACAAAAGGTACTTTTGAGAGCTGTTTTTCAGGTCCTGTTTCGACCCGAACATGCAATTTGTGTAAAAGTCGTCATTGGGGCAGCAAACAAAACATAGTAAGTCGTGACGTAATAAACAGGACTCGTTTATACTACGCTGCATCGGGAGTCTTGTTTATTACGCCATGATTTACTATGTTTTGTTTGCTGCCCCCAACGACGACTTTTACACATATTGCACGTTCGGGTCGAAACAGGACCTGAAAAACGGCTCTCAAAAGTACCTTTTGTACTCATTTCATGACAGACACAATAGTCGTTTTTATTTCATCACACCTTAGGCTACATATACCCGAAAAATGACGGAAATGTTTTCGAGCATTCCACAACCTCTTTAATTTAGCGGCTGTGAATATATAAAAACAGTTTTTTTCCTGCCTATCCTCAGTGCATAAGGTCCATTCAGTTGATTTTGTGTGTGTGATTGGTCTCCAACATTTCGCCAATTTTTTTTCTGCTCCAGAAGCGGCATACGAGGAAGTGCTAAGCAAGCATCATGGCTTTGTGGTCAGGTTCTCTTTCAAGGTAAGTTAAAGATATAGTCCATCATTTGTAATTTGTGCATTTTGTTCGTTTGAAGCAACAAAAGTGTTCAAAATCTAATGAAGGATACTGAACAACTAACCTGATGAATTTTCAGCTCAGCTTCAGCTGTATATTCCGAGAAAAACAGCATTCTAGGATCTCAATTTCAAATCAAAAGTTGCTGAATCATGTTTTGAATTGTTTGAATTGCAGCTATACGCGATGTTGCGCACTGATCCGACGAATTATAGAGGGCGCGCGCACGTGTGCGTCGTGCCAATGCTTGCGCGCGCTTTGCCGAATAACAAAACGAACTACTAATTTAAATTTCCTTCGGTGCGTCTCAAGAAGCACCGTTGGAAAGGCCTTCTTTCGTTGATTACTTCAAAATGACAGCTTGCCAGAAAAAGTTTGAGCAATACGCGCCAGAGAAAGCGGTGGAAAATCGGGAATTAACTTTTTTTTTAATCACAAGTTTGACCGAAACGGTCTGAAACTTTCACATGGGATAATCGATATATCGAATACTCTCAATATTGGATTTTGATATATCTATTATTGACAATTTTGATTACTGGGGGAAAACAGCTGTGCATATCCTCTATTGACTGGCAATCAGCAAACTTCTCCCCCTTCCCCCATCCCCTGTAAACTTTTTAAAAGAAATTTACGTTGAACTCTGAAAGTACGGGTGCAAGAATTTGACACCACCTAATGCATTTTGTTAATTCCTGAAATTGTCGCTAATCTTTTGGTGAATCGTTTTTAAACAGGGCGCTATGAACCTATTGCCATCTAGAGACAACTTCTTAAAGAATCTCGTCGTTAACGAGGCAGATCTTGCCAAGCCAAGCTGGAAAGCCGAGGTCACGGCCGACATGAAGCAATACTTCCTGGGCATGGAAAACATCCTGAGTATCCTGAGAGAATTTTTTAAGGAGCACAAATTGGAAAACTGAAACATTGCTGTCTATGGGAAAAATTTGCAGCAACCGCTGATCTCGATTGGCACCTTGGTACAATAGAACATCGCTACAACATACACCACTACACCTAAGTTTGGCTGTGTAAAAATCCTCGTTGGCCCAAAATTTCTGCACATTTTCAGGTCTTTATTCAGGCATTACGTTATCTAAGAGCGCCTTTATGTTAATAATGTTAAACTGTTTCATGTTGCTATTTCAGTTTTTCCAGACGTGCCATTTAGTTCATATTATTGTTTGTTTCATTTGATATTTGCCATGGAATATCAAAAAACTGGTGTCATAAAACGTATATTTTGATGGATTTGGTGTATCCATGAAATTTTAAGCACAAGTTTAACCCTGACTTTCCATAAAGGTACAAATACTACTCGTATTAAACTGCGGCAGTACTATCCTATATAAATATTGAATGCTTCGAGTGGTGTAGTAAAACTAGCCTCCCGAGGTGATCCATGGTTCGCCGAGGGAAAATAGAATGGTCCATGGATCACCGAGGGAGGCTAGTTTTACTTTTCCACGAGATAAAGCATTCAATATTTGTTTTATAACACTTCACCCACATATTCTGCTTGATTTTAATATTTTAAATTATTTAAATCTGAGCACAGTTGAAATAAACTTCAATTTCAATACAAAATTGGTGGAAAATGTATTTCTTTTCCAAACTACCCCTTCACGAAATGTATGAACCCAAGTCTGCGGCACGCTCTCTTTGGAACAATACGCGCTACGCGCAACGCGCACACCAGCATCCATTTGCACACAAATACTGCGCCGTGGAAATAGTACTTTGGTTGCTAATGGTATAGTACTTTGGTTGCTACGGGTATAGTACTTTTGACCGTGCACAGAAAGATAGCAAAATTAGAAAGTAACATGTGACTCGCTCTCGGCCAATCAAGACACAGAATCTGTGGGTGAGGTGTTATAAAGCCTATTAGTGTATAGTAGTTGTAGCACTTTTTTAGAATTTGATACTACACCCAAAATAAATTATGTAGTACTTTGTGCGTGTAGTTTATGGCTGGTGCAAAGACGAAAGAGAATTTGTTGTAGCGTATAGTGCTTCACCCCAAATTAATTCCATGGGGGTTAGAAGTCCATAATGAACTGATAGATTGAGGAGTGATGGCCCCTGGAGTGGATCTGGAGCGAGATATTTTTCTGGCGAAAGTTTGTGTTCTATGCACGCGCGTGAGAAGTTGGTTTAGCACGTTTCTTTTCAACGACTGTTTCATCAAGCGGTAAAAACAAACATGAAACAGCCATCAAATTGGTGGTTTTGATGAGTGTTGCTTAATTAGTGAAATTGGTCTTAGGATGACTCTTAGCTAAAATTGATCTTAGAGCAGGGACTCGTTTTAAGTCTAAAGATGAGTCGTAAGATAAGACAAGTTTTGTGAAATCGGTCCCTGGTCCCCAACGAGGTTGGATTATACCTTTGTGCACTAGAGTGAAATCAATTCCTGTATACGTGTAGTGTCAAAGGCCCTTTTGAGGCTGGAAATGAAAAATTGCATAGTTATTTTCATTTGTGGTTCCTTATATGTAGTCTACCTACAGCTCACAAGCAGCTTACCATAACCAGAGAGTTATTTTCTTTTCGATTGGAAGAGAGGCTGTTCAGCATTTTCCTTAAATGTGTTGTTTTTGTTTGGAATTTGTATACCTGGGTGCACTTTGGCAAGAAGATGTTTTCTGCTCTTGTAAACTTTTGTAATTTGCTCTCTTTCTATCGTGTTATTTTTTAAAAGTACTCGCTAAAATAATTTGAAAGTTCCGGCATCTATGTAATGCAAAGCCTTTTTTTTAAGTCTATTAACTTTGGAGTCGTGATCTTTGAGAAATTTGTACTTATGATAATCAACTGAAATCATTTATGCAAATCTAAATTTAACTGTATTTAATATTCAGTTTATGTTAATAATTTAATGTCCTTTTCCTTCAAGAGACTGGATGGAAAGTGCAAAATTCATTTTAATATATTTTAGTTTATCTAGACATTAGAATGTAGACATTGTTAATTACAGATTCTATCATTTTCATCATACTGCATAACATGTTCATTTGCAGCTATCCAAGAGAACAGAGAAGAGCAATAATTATATAAAGAAAGTAGCTTCAGAAATATTCCTCTTTTTTCTACACAACTCAGGGTGTTCTAATATCTTGACGTCTCATCTTAACAGGTTTCTTTTCGGGCAATATTTTCAACTTGTAATTTTCAGATTACAAGAATTCTACAGAACATGAGGTAAATCATTGCATTTTGTGCAATTTATGAAGGTTTCGGGCATCTTTTTTTGTATGGATACCACAGTTATGTAGTCCTATACTGTGGTTGTATCAAGCATGAAAAAGGATCAGGAATATGTGAGGCGTTTTGGCAAAAATGAGACCGAACTGGGCACGGGCCATAGTGGAAAAAAATGTAAACCACCCATGAATGTGATCGAATTTTTTTCGATCTTCAGATTATTGATACAATAATAATAATAATAGCGGAGTCTTATATAGCGCACGTATCTACCAACAATTAGGTACTAAAGGCGCTGGAAATTATGTCTTTTATTAAAGAAAGGTAAGTTTGTGAGAGATATGAGACCCATTATGTAGCACCTTTATAAGGGTTGACAAGGTGCTGCGGCGCATATTGCAGCCACTGCCAGAAACACCGGGGAAAACCCCTTCTCTTAGCGATAAGTGTTACTGGGTTCTTTAACGTGCATTACACAACACACGGGACCTACAGCTTTACATCCCAACCGAAGGACAAAGCAATAATGGTAAAGTCACAAGCACCATGTTCCCATGGTCAGGATTCGAACCCATGTACCACGGCACACAAGTCGAACACCGTAACCATTGGACCACAGCACCCCATATATATTAATAGTCTACATATTTTAAAGAGGTTGTGGAATAAACAGGACTCGTTTATACTACGCTGCATCGGGAGTCCTGTTTATTACGTCACGATTTACTATGTTTTGTTTGCTGCCCCCAACGACGACTTTTACACAAATTGCACGTTCGGGTCGAAACAGGACCTGAAAAACAGCTCTCAAAAGTACCTTTTGTACTCATTTCATGACAGACACAATAGTCGTTTTCATTTCATCACACCTTAGGCTACATATACCCGAAAAATGACGGAAATGTCTTCGAGCATTCCACAACCTCTTTAAAGAACCACAATAAAAACCGTGGAATGAAAGTGTTTTTAAGGAAAAACATTAGGCATCTTTCATATTCACCACTACAACACAGTCGAACCTTTTGAGGCCTTTTCTCTCCGTATTTTACTTTTCTTGACGCGTCGAGACAGGCAAACTTTAAATATCCATAACTTGTCAACAGGATGTCCGATAGGAGTGCAACGAACAGCAGCGTCAGGGGAATTTTATTCTCTTTCCTAATACCTGCAAACACCGGGGTGTGAGTGACCACTGATAAAAAAAAACTGAAAACGGCTGGAAAAAGGTGTAAAAAAGCTGAACTTTGGAAATCTTCTATACTTTTGTACACAGCAAGTGATGGAAAAAAGCTGAAATTCAAAACAAAAAAAAGTTGAAATCAGCTTTAAAGCTGAGATTTCACACCCCTGAAACTCTCATTTTGACCTCTGCCCAGTTGTGTGTCATTTTGCCAGTACGCCTCACATGCGTCCATGTCTTCACTGTTACATGTACGTTGACTCATTGTAGTCATTCTTGAATTAACCCTAACCCTTCTGGGTCTTTCAAAATCCACAAGGATATGTTTTAGGATATATGGTATTTGTTTTCTGCACAGTTTTGAAGGATTCAGGGAGTTTTGGGAGACTTGTTTCCAGGAGAGTATGCCCTTAGAGTTCAGTTATAACGGTACAGTTTTCAGTTAAGTAATGAATCATTGGAACAATTCTGTTTTATAACTTAGATCTGTTGTATTATACTGCCTATATGTATGCATTCATTTTGTCTTGTTTTAATGTTAATGGTGACATGCTGCAGTTTTAATGTTGTCTGAACCTATTATCAACAACTTGATATGCCAAATAAAGAATTGTAAATGATTCGGAGCAGGAGATTTGAATTAATCAGTGTCATTTGTTTTGTATAACAAGCGAATGGTTGAAGAAACTGGATGAGTTATTCAGAAACTGATTCAGATGGCATAGCCACATTGCACGATTGTTACAACAATGTTGGTTTGCACTTTTATGCATCTACTGAACTAGACCCATACTAGAGACATGTATTAAACTGGACAGTGTTTGAAACATGTTCCGAATCAGCAACAAAATACGTTTATTGTCACACACATATTACCAATACAAACATTGGTGAAAGAAGTTCATGATTGTCTCCTATGACAAAACGCTGCCATGAATTTATAAATTAAAAAAAAAAGACCAGAGATGTAATGATATCATGCTTTAACAATGTGCTTTCTTATGGAATCTAGGTAGGAATGTAAGGAGACGTTAACCAACTCCCTCCACACCGCCTCTCCCACCCAATAAGAAAGCATGCATTTAATCGAAGTACGTCATCCTCACGTCTCTGGGCTATTCTCTTTGGATAGCAAAAGAAACATTTATTTATTATAAGGCATATAAATACAGAGCATGTCTATGTTTTTTTGGTTCCAAATATACAGTTATTGTCATTCTTGCATAAAATATACATAAATATACAATATTTCTAAAATCTTGAAGGCAATACAAAATATTAAAACCTAAAAGTTACACTTGGCAGGACTCGATATAGCATTGTCAATCAATTTGACGGAATCGGGCATTAGCCCTTTTTTGATATTATTTAAGTTTTGTAATACAACCAAGGATTCCTCAAAAGTGCCTCAGGCACTGTAGCTCTTAAGCCTGAGGAAACCTGTACAGAGAAGACAGTGGAAAATAATTGCAGTTTTAGAGGTGGGATTTAAAACCCCAGGAGAACAATCTGATCTGGTACATTTCTTTCATTGGTCGAAGAGTATTTCATTAAGTGAACACATTTCTGCCAGCTTAAAGCTAGTTCCTCGACTCCCACCATTTTAAATAGTACTACTTAAATTTTGATACCAAAGAATCTGTGCTTGTGATCCAAAATTTGCCAGGATAATTTATAGCAATCCTCAACTGTCTTTTAAGGCACGATCTAGCTGGCTTAACTTACTGCACATCAAGTACAAAAGTGGAAAAAAGTGGTGACACTCTGCAAGATAGTTTTAATAGACTTTAGTGGCAGGAAAAATCCTACTACATCTTATGGAAAAAGAATGGCAAAAGTGCCAATCTAAATAGATTCAATTCAATTTAAATCAACCTTGCATTTATTTCCATACCAAATGAAGAATATAAGCAGAGAATACATGAACAAGTAAATGGAATTGTAGAAAAGGTGTAACAAGCGAAAGTGTTAGTATGGAGGCATCTCAATTCTAGAAGCCTAGGCTTGTGGCGAGATGCCTTGGACGGACTAACACAGAACAGAAACAAGTACAAGTACACACGGACAGTTGGATCAAGACAGAACACCTAAGGCAAAAAAAAAATTCTTCGGTTTCTGGTGTGGAGCTTGCCCCAGAAGTGGTGCGACGACGCATTTTTTTCCCCCTACTTTCTTTTTTTTCCAGATGTCGGCTGATATTGTAAATGACGCTTCTATGCCCTTAAAACTCTCAAAAATATCCTTCAGGGTGGAGCTTGAGGTGACCTCAGTTATGCCATAAGGCTTGAGAATTCTGCACCCACTTATGATCTCGACCGACACGAACATTCTTTGGGAAATTTGGATAGTCAAGACAAAAATCAGAAAAAGACCACACAGCGACATCGACATCGACATCATGCATGACTGTGCTGCCAAGGCTGTCATAACTCTGCTCCCATATTGCGCTCATTAAAAAGCGTATACAGGTTCCAGATACACGACCGTTGTTCCCTCGGTCTGGTTTCCAGACGCACAATTACAAAAGTACAGCACCGTCTGCAAATGGTGCCCGACTAAATTTAGTGCAAAATATATGGGAGCCCAGACAGGCTACACAAGCTTATACCCGATCGTAACCCCATCTAAAAACTAAAAACACGTTAAAATTGTGCAGCAGCAGGATTCCAGTCAAACCAGTGAGTATGACGGTTTTGAGACATCATCTTACATTGAAAAAAAAAAAAAACTTTTTAATTTTGCCGACAGCTACGGCGATGCCCGCGCAGACCAGAAACCGGAGACTTTTTTGTTGTTGGCCTAAGCATGAAAAGATAAAAAAATTGTGAAAAACCAAATGAGAAGCAAACTATGTCCGATACTGGGAGATGAGAGCTCGTTTATAGGCATGTTAGATCGATCCACTAGGCCCCTTGCCCATGTTGGCTATTAAACACATGCTACTTTCAAATGCCAAACTGCATTTCCAGCAACGAGCATCGTACACATGTGCATGAACGTCACACTTTTATGCAGGCGTGTCAGACACGAATCACGGCTGTGATTGGTCAGATCACCATGGGGAGGGGCTTAATGGCTCTGTCTATTCCCCCGGCATTAGATCAGCTCAGCGTTTTGGGAGTTAGGAATACCCTTCTTATTCCACACCTGCATCCTGGACTAGGTACTGTGTCTGACATTTGATGCAGAACAGCACCTGCATCCCTCTGTAAAGGTCCCCCTGGCATTAGATCAGCTCAGTGAGTTTGGCGTAAGGAAAGCCCTTCTGGTTCCACAGCCGCAACAGAAACGCGCCTCCTGGACCGGGTACTGCGTCCCGCACTGGAAGCAGAACGGCGCAGGCACCCCGCCGTTCACTGCCTCCAGTTTTGCCCCGTGTCTGGGTGAGATACTCGCATGCCCTGGGGAAGTGGGCGTGGTGCAGTCAATGGGGGAGGTCAAGGGGGACGGGGTGTGGCTACCGCCCCTCAGCGGTGGGGTGTAGGACTGGGGCGAGTTGCTGAGGGAAGACCGGCCTCTTGTGAACTCCCGCGGGGAGGATCCTGAGGGGCTAGGTGGGCTGAAGTTACCGTTCTGTAAAGATGTGTAGCCACCAGGTTTCATGCCTCCGGGCGAGTCAAGTTTGGTCATTCTGAAATCAGAAGAGGAACTGGCTTCAAAAAGTGAACCGGAAAATGTAATCACCCTTGCTTCCTAGCTGCACATCATGCAATGTGAGGGAAGCCAATGGCTTACGCACTTCTTGTTCCGAGGGGCTACAAGCTACAATGGCTACCAACTACCCTCCTCAATCTTGGAACTGATGGTTCTAGGGGTTTATGATCAATGCACTGCCTGAGCAGCAGCACTTTCCAAGTGCCAAAGAAGCACTGTCAAAACCTCTGCATTGTTTCAGCTCGCCAGTTTAAGTAATTCATATTTTTGACATGTGCTGATGGACTTTTGACTATCCACTCCGCGCACAAGTACTCCCTAAACAGCATGGAAGGAAGAGTTGGGGCAGATGGCTGGAGAGACATTTGAACGCATTGCCGACAACGCCTTACGCGAATGCGCCATAGTACATGTAGTAGTAAAGTCTGTCACGAGCCAATGTGGCCCATCAGGCCGGCGTATATCTCCGGTGTCAGTAGCATGAAACAACTTTGAATATTTCTACTCCCCCTGGATGGGATGCTAGTCCATCGCAGGTCACTCCCCAGCTAATACCGCTACCCATTTATACTCCTGGGTGGAGAGAGGTAAGTGGGGGTGAAGTGCCGTGCCCAAGGACACAACATATGACAAGCAGCTGGATTCAAACCCCTGACCCTCTGATCATGAGTCACGAACCCTAACCACTAGGCCACACGCCATAGCTTTGTGCATTTTCACAATAAAATTAGTCATGCGTACTCTGCGCTATACATGCCCAAACAAGTACGTGCACAACGGGGATCTCGAAGATGGTGAAAAAGCGCCCTCTCTTGGTGGCGCATGGAGCTCATAGATACAGTGACACAACATCAAAAGAATTCAAATGCTGAATGGAATTTTAGGTCACGTGAATCGGTGTACGAGGAATTATTCAAATTCAACTCCTGATTTTGAACATAAAACAGACGCCCAACAAGTATCTAGCAATACAAGTTAATGAATATACATTTACTAGTTCTCTGTAAAAAAAAAAATTAAAAAAAATTGTGGTTGGATAGAATTTCTTATCTCTTGCTGCCAAAAAAAGGACAAATGTTAAAGAATACTTGCTCCGCATTCACTTACGTCTCAAAACTTGGTGAATTCTTGTCCCTCCAGGTAAACGTTGAATTCATGGGCCTCCCACTTCCCCCGACCTCCATGGGTTGTTGCCGAGGCGATGACCCTTGACCCACGTTCCCAGCAGTCTGTGCACGTTGTAACCTCATCTCGCTAGCCTTGGTTGTCCGGTAGCTACCTTGGTTGCCATGGTAGCCTGAGGAGCCGTTGGTTCCTGGGTAGGCAGGCGGGGGGTGGGAGGGCGGGCGTGGGGAGGGTATGGTGTCACCGCCGTTTGTTTGAAAAGTCTCCACGTCCACTTTGTCTGAAAAACTGGGGGAGGGGGTAAGACTTATCGTTAAAAGCTGAAAACTGGTGTGCATTCCATTTAAGGGTCCATGATGTGAATTTTACTTGGGAACATATTTTGTGAAACTTTCTACTCCTTCCAAATTTATGAAAACTATTTGACATGTGTTTTTGGTTAATCTTATACAAAAGCGCACTTCTTTAAATATTAAAAAAAAGTCCCTGCTTTTCCTGACAAATGAGGGTGCTGTTGCTGTGATGTCATTTCAGGAAGACACTGTTCAGTTCAGGTGTTTTCTGTTCAAAGTGTGAACCCAAATTTGCTCATTGAAACATTTGTGAGGAAGCTTTGCTCATTGGCATGTACTGAAACGACAACGAATTACCAAATACTGGCTTTGTTCCAAAAATATAGTTTTGAAAAAGATCCTGAAAGATACAAAAAATAATATAAACAACACAGAATAAGTGTGCAAAATTGCCTTATAAACACAATTTATAATTGTCTAGTTACACGTATGAAACTTTACGGTCATTTTAAAAGAGCAGATCACAACTGCAGAGGGTTAAAGGCAACTTTGTTGCTAACTCCACACAAAGTAAACAATTATTGTAATTGTATGTTCTATTGGCCCTTTTACTCTGTCACATTCTTCAAGATTTGATGCTACAGGATTCCTGAAAAGTAGATGACTTTGGAGGATTCGGAAGTTAAAATCCAAAAATGCAAGGGAATATGAAGGTTAAGGTTTTTTCTTACCGGACTGAGGACTTTGGACGAGCGGTTCTGTTGCGTCCCGAAGACAGCGCGGATCGGGCCGTACTTCGTTGGTTGTTGACTTGAGTTGTTTTCGGTGGGCTTGGGGGCTGATGCGAAGTGTATCCTGAATACTTGGGAGCTGCATTTGCTTGTGTGCTTCTAAATTCTGTTGAATTTAACGGGCAAAATACAGGTTGTCAATTGAATATAACTTCGGAGTAATTTTGATCACTTTCTGTCACATTTTTTGTAAAATATAATTTATAGTTGAAGGTAAAGGACAACATTTGCAAACAGGATTATTTTTTCCTGAGTGACAAACTGGCGATCGTACCACAAGAGGTTGCAAGTCAAAAGATATTACAAACATTTTGGAGGGGAGGATTTGCATTGCATCGAGAAACTTAGGGAGCTTACATTTCAACAAGTTAGTTTTTGAATAGCCTGCCTCAGTTTTATTGTATTGTTGTTCCTTGAATCGACAAACGATATTTATTCGCAAATGGTCCCATTATCTTTAACCAGACATGCAACTGGGAATTTAGGAAAAACGAGGAAACTGCAAACCACACAAGACTTTGTACAGTGTTTTTCAATTTGTAATGGCATTCATGAGAAGTAAAAAACGAGGAAATCAGCAGATCCGAGGAAAAGTTGCATGCCTGTTTAACACAACATACAATGTTTTAAAAAAAATCAAGTTTTGTTGACCACACACGCCACAGATACAAAACTGTACCATCACAAACTTTTCAATTAATTGTTATATTCAGATAACAATCTGTCCACTCTTATCAGACTGTAAATAGAGCAGCCAGGGTAGATGTCAGACTGATACTGACTGGCCTACTGTACAGGCCAGCTTATCGAGGTAACACTGAAGTGGGTCAGGCTAAGGTCACAGTGAAGAATACCCTTTTTTTGGGGTGGGACAATTGTTGATGTCAGCTCCTGGATAATATTTCAATCAGAAACTCCAGTATGTCAGTGATGTATTACATGCATTTTGTTACAAACGACAAACTCTATAAGCAGGATGTCACTATGGAATCGCAATTTCTGAAAGCAAATGCACTTGAGTAATGCAAACATTAGTATAATCTTTACCAAAAATACCCGGTAGGTGAAAATAAATCTAATTCTTCAGCACAACACTAAGTTCAATACCTTTGAACGCCGAAACAAATGCATTTACCATAATAACTCTGGCAATTGCAATAATTTGGATGGTCGCCTCACCTGCTTCATGGGGTAGGTGGTTTTGACAAAACTGGTGTTTGTATCATTGTATGCATTTCTCTGTTCAGATATTTCGAGAGCCAGTTGGCAAAGCACATTGTGTGTGCCTGTTTTATACTGGCATTCCATTGTCACACCGAATTGAATCATTCTGTAGACTAGAATTAAGTTTAACATAAAAAAACCCACATTTCACATTTGTGATGCTTGCAAAAATGACAGTTAACGCCTTAAAGCTTTTAAGCTCACTGTACACACTTGTATCTTGCTGTATTGACGCATTGATGTGGAAGTATATATCGTGCGAACCTTTATGCACAATCTGAACAGCAACTTCCGAAATTTAATTTTTGGGGTTGGCTGTCTTTTTCTTTGTTTTTGTTTTTTTCAAACGGGTACCCGGTTTCCGCACTACCCATAGATGCACACCCCAAGCAAAGTCAATAGAAATTTTCCACAAAAAGTTCACACGTCTAAAATCAAATTAAATTTGGGTCGACTTGAGCTGTTCTAAATAAATTTAAATTCAGCGTAACTCAGGGCCACTATCTGGTTCATAAGCGTGACATTATTTTACCTTAAACCAGGCCCACTGCATACAAAGTAGCATTAGAACCACTGAACGGGAAGACATACAAAGTGGCATTTTGCCAATGGGGCTGATAATCAATGGTGCGTGCACATGTATCATGCAGTCATTATATGAACCGGAGACCAAAATGGTTGTAAATGAATTTGTTTAATACGTATTTGTGAAAGTGCTGACGGGATATTACATACCTTGTCTGTAAGAAGTTTCAGGTCCCCTTCCCCCATAAGCAGCCGAGTAGACAGACATGTTAGAGAAGTCATTTGTCGGCTGAGCATAGGCGTAGGGGTTGGCACTGCTTTTCCTACGGACGACTTGATTATCGTACTGTGGAACAGAAACGAACATTTCACTTGACTCCCAAACTCCAAAAATCCCTGGTTGAACATGGACACCAATGTGTGAAATTGTATAAACAACATCAAAACATCTCTTCTGGTAGAAAAAGGGGTCAGGGATTCAAGTCCTGCACAAGCAGGCTATGAATTGTTTTCCTGTTAACTCTTGAAAAACTACTACGTGCTTATGATTACTCAAATATTGAATCAATAAAGGGAAAAACCTAGCTTAGAAAACAAACAAGGTGATCCGCTGATCGCATGTGTTGCCCTTTTTTCACTGTCGATCCCTATATGTTCTGTGTTCTTAAAAAACGTCGAATTTTGTGCATGTTTAAACGACCGCAAATGACCTCTACATAACCTTTGACCTGAGTAATTGTGTCTTCCCACCCAAGAGTCACTGCATCCAAGTTTCATCAAAATCCACTGAAAGCATGCAGAAGTTTTACACAATTTTTTAAAAACTAAGCTTTGGCTTAGCTTTGTGCACATTTAGGATAAACAAGTTGTGCGTACTTCTCGCGCGAACCGCTGGATTCCATAGGAGTCCAAATTTCACGTGACACTGGAAAAGTGTTTAAGACCAGCCAGACGGTCTTTATCATCCGTTCAAGACCGGCCAGGTGACAGCTCTCGACCAATAAGAATGGGTAGACTGTCTTAGGTATTTATGAACTTTGATTTAAAATTATTAACTAAACACTTCAAAGACTGCTGCTGAATGCAACGGATCTGTTAATTTGTTATCAGCATTAGCACTGGTGTGACAAAATGACAAAATTCGGGCGCTGTGCGCTTACAGCTTTTCTAACTCCCGTAGAGCTGTAGCTGACATCGGCCGCTGCTCTCTTGTGGAGTGGTTTGATGGGTGTCCCGTGGGTCTTGGTCCTCTGGGCACAGAAGGGTATGTGCCTCTCGGCAGCCGTGGGGTTGAAGCGACGGGAACAGTGCGGACATCCTATGTAATCTGGAGGAATCAATCAAATTTGCACAGTGAGGGACCATCGTGAAACTTGCTAAGTGTCATGTTCCTTTTGGAATGTTCCATTTCAAACACTTCATTTTCTTGGTAGTGTTCCAAGGGTGTTCCTTGAGCCAAACTCCACGAGCTTCTAAGCATAATGTGTTGCTAAGCATATATTTGGGAGTAAGCAAAAAGAAAAAAAACGCTGTAATAATAACGCAGTAATGAGCGGTAACAAACACTTGACATTTTCTGGTGATTTATTGATTGATTGATTTTTTTTGGTGAGTGAATATTTTGTGTGTTTATACAACGCCTACATAAATCCCCATCATCTGACTGGTGGGTCATTGATCACATGTCAATCAATTATTCGTCCCAACCCACGGCCCGGCCGCACAACAAATATAGAAGTTCTATTCCAGGGTAAATAGAAGTTCCATTGCACGGTCACACGGTTGGTGGCCCTGACCAATCAGATGATGAGGATTTACTCAGGTGTTGTATAAAGCAAATTATGAATGTTTCACATTCCTGCAATGGAAAAGAATAATTTCATTCGGTAACTAATCGAATGTTCCATTCTACTCGGCTTCGCCTCGTGGAATGGAACATTCCATCTGTCACCTCATGCAATTATTCTTACCATTGCACTCATAAGCATTTGTTATTGGTATATTACTGAATTTCCAAAAGCAACTGACTGCTGATGGAATGGAATGCGCTGTACCTGAGTAACTTGATGAAATGTTGTTATCGTGTTTTGATCCTATTACAATGTCTTTATTTTGTGAGACCTACTTGGGTTCTGTGACGGTGGGGGTGGTGGCGGCAGCGGACCGCCCGTTCGAATCGCTTTCTGTGCCCCCCTTGCTGAGCGAATCGCGTTGACAAATTCCAGGTGGCGCTCTCTCCAATGTGTGTCTTTGATTGGCTGAGGCTGTTTAATGACATACACACACAAAATGTATAAGGCAGAATCACTACGTTTCCCTTTTCAACCCTAACCCATCGATGCATGTTTGAAAAGTTGTAAAACAGAAGGCTCTGGACATTTTGTTGATATATTTCAAGGTTCATTCTGAAGCCAGTTGGATCATTGTTAACCAAGATTTGAGCAACCTTCATGGAACCCATGCTCATCAATGACAGCGGTGATAGTCTAGTTATCTATTAGTGACCAGCCTACCGAGGTTGTGAGGCGAAGTTGGGAGTGTGGCCCGGTGGTTAGGGTTTCATGACTCATGATCAGAGGGTCAGGTGTTCAAATCCAGCTGCTGGTCATATGTTGTGTCCTTGGGCAAGCCACTTCACCCCCATTTGCCTCTCTCCACCCAGGAGTATAATGGGTACCGGCATTAGCTAGGGAGTAACCTGCGATGGACTAGCATCCCATCCAGGGGGAGTAGAAATATTCTCAGTCGTTTCATGCTACTGAAACTGGAGATAAACGACCTGACGTGCCACATTGGCTCATGACAGACTTTACTCTCTCTTTACTCTACCGAAGCTGGTCACCCCATTGGTTATCAAAAGCCGTGTTTAGCATAATGTACAGCTGGGAGCCACATCTTGGACCTGAACCCACAACCACCTGCTTACAAGTGCAGATGTCTGAATAATTCCACCACCAAGCTTGCATCGGTCAATTGGCCAGTTTGAATCCAATGTAGCAGAGTTGAGGGCAATATCAAAAGTAATATTGTCCTGATCCGGGTACTTTTACTAACATAATATTGCTTTCATCCGGGTACTTTGTATGAAAGCATGCAATACGTTGATTTATTTTTACCGCTGAAAACCTGATATAAATAATAATAGTATATACCACATACATGGAATTGACCACTTGTATACAATTGATAATTTTTCAAAATTTCTCCTGGTTATTAGTCCGTTGACTTTCATTTCTTTAAGCTGCAAATTTACCTGTACTTCACCCGGTTGTGTCTTTAAATTCTTGAGTGACACCCCTGTGTCTGCGATACGCTGCTTGGCCGAATTGAACACTTTCCTCTGTCTGCTCTTCAATTGCGTCTTCCTGCAGATGTTCTCGTGTTTGACCTGAATAAATCACACAGAGAGGCACAAGAAGAAAGTTCAGATAATAAGTGCTTTTGAAATAACTAAACAAGAAAAGAAAATTCAACGGCAAGCATAGACAAATTTTGGCTCATTTCACCATTATTAAGAGAACCTGCATTCAAAATTAATTGCCTTCTCCTGTTAAATTTTCATCTGAGAACAGGACTTTCATTTATAGTGCTATACATTTTCAAATAATGTACAGTGTAGTATTCAATTATTCGAGCTTGAATTTGATGGAATATTCAAAAACTGATACCGAGGTAAAAACTATAATAATGAATATCATATGCGTATCCATTTTTTTGAGAGAGTCCCCAATTCCCAAAGGGTCCCCAATTTGAAGATGTGTACAAAACATATGGGAGCTACATAGGTCTTCGTAAAAAGTTAAAGTACAAACAAAAGAGGGACAATAGGGGGTCCCCGATTGCATGCAAATACACACTTGCGTGTGTGCGTTTGTTTTTATGATGTAAATCGAGGACACACACATGCAACATCAGCGATGAATCGAGGTCAGAAACCAAATCAAGGACTCCTCAGTTCGAAAACGTGTACAAAACCAATGAGAGCTGTTGCGAAGTACAAACAAAGGAAAAGGGAAGAGGAACAAAAGAAAATCCTCGATATACACCATAAACAAACATGCTACCGGTAGCATGTGTGTGTATGTACATGCATATAATTAGACTATATTATTTTTTTATGCTTATTTTTTAATGTTTGTTTTTTCCTGTTGTCTGGAGATCCCTTTCAAAAGTGATTTGTTTCACTTTTGGGAAATCCTCCGGCCTGTTTTTTGTTAAGTTTATATCTTGTTTGCACGATAATAAATAAATTAATAAAAAGTAAAGTAAATGCCAAATCCTGTTTGTAAATGACTTTTAAAAATGTGTAAATTTTCACGTTACTCACCAAGGTGTCTGGGTTGAACTTTCTCCCACATGTAGTACATGGTTGCAGTTCAAAATTTCCAGAACTAGAAAATGCTGTCAAGAAAGTCAACAAGATTGGACTGTTGATTCTTGATTTGTCAAGGAAAACATTGAAACTCTAGTATTGGACTGCCATAATTAAACAAATAATGAATGTTTATGAGTGCAATGGTAAGAATAATTTCATGTGGTGAGAATGGAACATTCCATCTGTCACTGAATGAAATTATTCTTTCCACCGCACTAAGGCCAAAAAAAAAAAGGCTGCAGTTTTCTGGTTTGCGCGCGTCGCCGTAGCCATATGCTTCTGCAAAAATTTTTTTCAATGTACATGTAAGATGATGTCTCAAAACCGCCACACTCACTGGTTTGACTGGAATCCTGCTGCTGCACGAAACGTGTTTTTAGATGGGGTTACGATCGAGTATAAGCTTTATGAGGCCTCTCTCGGCTCCCATACAATTTAGTCGGGCACCATTTGCAGTCATCAGCCGACATTTGAAGATGCGTCGCCGCACCACGTTTGGGGCAAGCTCCATACCAGAAACCGAAGACATGTTTTTTTGGACGAATGTAAAACAATTCATTATTTTTTTTATACAACACCTGAATAAATCCTCGTCATCTGATCGGACAGATCAGAGCCGCAATCGTGTGACCGTGCAATGGAACTTCTATTTACCATGGAATAGAATTTCTATTTTTGCTGTGCTGCGGGGCCGTGGGTTGGGATGAATAATTCAATGACATGTGATCAATGACTTACCAATAAGATGACGGCGAGACTTATTCAGGCGTTGTATTATTTAAATTTGAAAATCAGTTCAGGGAAATTTCAGTAAATTTTGTACGGTAATGATTTGAAGAAATGTTGTGTATGGACTTGAATTAAGACTAGTAGACTATTAATGTACTTGTCAATGCGCATGCGTACGCGCGCGTCTGTATGGAAAGTTCCAGCACTACTGTATCCCGTCAGGCAACCCTAACCCAATGCAGGGGCGTCGCTAGAACATTTTCAATGGGGGGGGGGGTGTCGGACCAAATTTGCTGACAATTTTGTGTAAAAAACATCCGGGAAGAAAAAAAGGGGCCTTTTTCAGATGTCTAATTTTTGTGAAATTTCATGTTGAAATTTTGATACACAAACGTGTAAAAATGAATCTGGAAATTTCACGAAAAATATACATCTGAAAAAGGCAGCACTTTCTGATTAGCCTATAAAGAGGGTGAGTATGCTTCTAAAGCAAAAAAACCCTACAAACTAAGCCTAAATGTGAAAATCAAAATTTGGCTCCGTCGACACGATTTTTGTACATGTGGATGTGTGGCCTATGTTTACGGAGGCAGTCCAGTAAATAGGCCACATTTATGGGGCTATCTCAACAGTCGAGTGGTCTGACCCCCTTTCTCCCCTAATCTAGAATAGGCCTGCAAGTGTAACACTCAACATACATGTAACCATGATTTATAACAACATTAACAAAAAATAACAATCAATGCAACGCAGTGCTCCATGCCTGCACCAGCATCAGACATTCAATTGTCACTGTCAGAAAGACAGATTAATAAGTTTACCTTCAAATTCCATTCTCAAACCCTACACAACGGCTTGACTTTTGGTTGCATGTTGTCACCTTACGTGCAGCACCAGCAATCCATCACATAATGCATCAAATCAGATCGAAAAATCACGACAAATGTTCTCGTACTCTCGTCGAACTGTCATCACCCCTTGTACAGTGTTGGACGCCATTAGTTGGTGTAGCAACAGCGAGTGTATTGCGCATGCTCAGTTCAATTAGGGATTATGACGGCTGGCACGTAAAACTTTAAACAAGGTAAAAATGAACCAATATAAATCTATCCTATGGGTTGTGCTTCACGTATAGACATTGAATTATACAGGTAAGGCCAAAAAAAAAAAATATTCGGTCTCTGGTCAGACCAAAGTTCCGAAATTGACGCGGCCACGCGGATTTTTTTTTTTTTTTCCTTTTTTTTTTTTCTTCAAGCTTGGATTGTACAGACAAGGTGGGGTACTATTTTGCTTTTTTGGTGTCCTCATGTACATTGGTGTCCTCCATAATTTGCCTTGGTGCTTTCGATCATTTGCCTTGGTGCAATTTCCGATTCCTTGGTGCTCTTTGGTAAAAAAAATTGAGGAGGTGCGGAAATAGAGGGCGCTGTTGGAGCTACTGCGGAACATTTTGGAGAAAAAAAAGATCGACGCGCATGATTAAAATCGACGCGCGCGCTGACCAGAGACCGACATATTTTTTTTTTTTGGCCTAATAACGAAAGGATGTAGGGGAATAGGTACTTCACCACAATATTTTATTCAAAAGTTTTCAACTTACTTGATGCTTGAAGCAGAAGTTTGCACTAATTGTATTCAAATATTCCAACAATAAAAAGTTTAAAGATCTTCTGAGGACAAAACGACAATTGTTAAAACAATTCGAAAAGTTACATTTTATAAAAATCCGGAAGAGGCTACAACCTAGCATTGGTACATTAGGATTTAGGAAAATGGTGCGTTCTTGTTACTTGTAAACTTAAACAAAATTGATTTTAATAAACATAGGAAAATTTCCAAAAGGTTGTCACGAAACTGTTTCTTGTACTGCAGTTTCACAAACTAACATTCGAGATATTGACGTAGAAAACAGCCGTCCAGCGGTGGTGGTAAAAATTAACTGGCCAAAAGATTGTTGAACAAATTAAAGTTTTCAAATTTTAAAACAGAAAATTAAATTGTCTTTACTCTCATCTTTGTTACATAAACAACATTTAAAAATTTTTAATTAAAATCAACGCGTTTGCAATTATAAAACGTATTCTTTACATAAGCGTCTTAACATAAGAGATGGCTGATATAATCATACTTCATAGTTCAACTATTTTTGGCGGACATCAACACTAGCTCAGCTAATGTAGTCAAGTATTTTAGACTCAGTGAATACAGGGTAAGTAAAAACAAAACGAAACCCAAATGTTGGGACCATTCTGTTAGGGAAGTTCTGCATGAAGCGTTTTTAAAATCAAGGATATGAAAGCCCCATTCATAAGCTTTCTTTTAGGAGAAGAATCATTCAAATCACTTATGTACTTTTCAAGTTACGGAGTTTTAAACACAACCACCGTTTTTAAAGTTCTGTCCACGGATCACTAAAAAGGTGTCTTGCGTTCTTTCAGCAAAACGAATACAATTCACACACATGGATCTGTATGTGATTTGTTTTCGTTTTGCTGAAAGAACACTCAACTTTTTTTGTGATCCGTGGACAGAACCTTAAAACGGCGGATTTGTTTAAAATTCCGTAACTTAAAAAGTACATGAGTGATGTGAATGATTTTTGTACTACAAGAAAGCTTATGAATTGGACTTTCATATCCTAGATTTTGAAAGTGCTACATGCAGAACTTCACTAGAACAATGATCCCGACATTTGGGTTTCGGGTTTTTTTTTACTCACCCTGTATGTTACCTCTTTGATGGATTTTCCCTCCCTCGGAAATTGTGTTGTCACTGCGTATCATGCGCCATTCATTCCTGGTTATTTAATACATGTACAAACAAGGCTTGGATATTTCCTCAGGCAAGTCCCGGGACCCTGGATGGAATGACCGACTCGAGTCAATCAAAACTACGGAAGCAGCCGTTATCATTTGTTTATACCTCATGATCTGACAGTTTTGAAGCGTTAGTGGGTCGCAAAACCAAAACCATTTGTTTTACTCCATTTTGCGTTTCGCTGACTTCACGCGGCTCGTGTCCTTCTCCTTTTCTATAAGGGGCGGGGGTTCACACGGGGGGGGGGGGGGGTAATGTTATGTTCCAAACTGAGGGTTTCGCCACCAAACTACAGCACAAGAGCACCCCGGTTTTAAATATCTTTGGCCAATATATAAGGATGACATCACGCATGTATTTTATTCCAGTTTTATTTTTTAGAGCTATGTACAGCAAGGTGAAAGCAATTGAGTACTGTTTTTGTTCGTTTTTAGAACGGTACTTATTATGTGTCACCTTTTCGGAGAACCTCAAATATTTGCCGTCTCGAAAAGTACTGAAATCCAAGCACGATGTACACGCCACAAAAATAAATTGATGTTAACTAAACCAGACAATGAACCGCGTCTTGCAGTATATAATCTTTAACCAAAATACATGTAGCCGCAGACTGGTTTTTCTAGTTCTTGACAACCGGACATGAAACATACAGTCACTAATAAAACACACGCCGATCGTTTTAGCTTCCAAATAGACTTCCACCGTAAATTTCCAGATAATGCATTGTATTCTGAACTCGAATTTTTTTTTTCAAGAAGTTTGACTGATTTCAGAGGCACCAAATGAAGCTGACAGCAGTTGCCACGTTGACTATTATTTTTTCTTCTACATAGTCAAATCTGGCTATACACACACTTTAAAGATGTACTGAGGACAAATAACGTTTAAAAACTAGCCTTCACATCATCCATCTGAAACAGGGTAATTCAAGGCTTGTTAAATTTGACCGGCAATGTTTTACTCCGATTCGTCCTTAAATGTTCCACTGCTAACGCCGACGTTTTCCCCCGTGCCGAGTTTCACCTCATCGGTTCCTGTCGGGGTAGTCGTTGGTGGTGGCGTTGTTGGCCCGTCTCCGCCCGCGGAAGCTTTGAGATTCATTCTGCCAAGATGCAACTCGTCTAATGACAGACTAGCTGGGAAGGCAACCCAACGACTGTTTCGCTTCATGTGGGCTGTCTTGGCACTTCTCCTGGCACGACTGGAAAAAAACGGGGAAAAATTCAAATGATGGGCAAAAAATGTATACCTGTAAGTTTAGCGCCCGATTTTTGAAAATGAAAGCTGGTCAATTTACCCCTTTGCACATCACAGTCGAACATCGGAAACCGATTAAACGCTGAGCTTTTTTCGACTTAAGAAGTAAGTTTTTTTGACAGTGGATTTTTAGGGATCAAACTTCTTTAGCAATATTCTTACTGCTCCAAAATGTTAGAGGAATGGGCAACGAAGGCCGTTTCGATCTGAGAAGGGTGGTCGTCAAAGGCACAATCCATTTTGCCTTTGACAAAGATCCTGTTGTGGGTTGTTCGGCCTCTTAACTATTTTAGTTGTATGTTTCAGAACAATCCATTCAGTAAGCAGTTTTCAGAGAAATCGTAAAACTCACATGATTTTCACCAGGCAAATGAGCATGCAGAGAAGGAGAAGTGTAGCCATAGCAACCCCGCCATAAAGCAAAATCCGGAAAGGCCTCTGGCACGTTGAACCTGTTGAAATGGAAACAATGTGATAGACAAGGCTATTCTTTTCATTCCTTCGGGTTCCGTTAACATCTATTGGTCGTGCTGTTTTAAAATCCACACCCTTTCCCCATAAAACAGTATCTGTCTAGGTTCGAAATGAGTAAATAGATCTTATCTTAAAGATGTGTACTGTCCCTGCCCTTTAAAACATACGATTTTTGTTGAAATTAATACGGGCAGTACATCTTTAATGATAAAACATCTACTTTTTGTCAAGAGAATGAAGTTTTCCCAATTTTTTTTGTAACGATTTTCGTAGCCTTTCCCTTTTTATCCGGGCAGATTTAAAGTGGTTTTAATGGGACCCCGATGCTCGAAAACATTATTCTGTTTTCAAGATGTCTCTTGGCAGCGGTCATGAGAAAGCAATACGTGTATTTTCTTTTCCTGAACTCAACCGGAACGGGAAAGGCAGGTGAGCAGGGCCATGAGAAAGGAAGTAAATAGAAGCTTGACATAATAAATGTTCATGTAAGCAAAAACCTTCACACACACACACACAAATACCTCGGTCACTGTTGCTATTTTGTATGATTGGAAATTTGGACTGTAGCGTCGGGGAGATGCATAATATTGTGTTTTAACCTTCGCCAACGTATGAATTACCGATAGCTTGCGAGAAAAAATATCATCAAACGCTTAACCAACGCCCCACTGAAATGTCGATAGTAGGTCGGTGAAGGACAAAAATCCGATATTAAACTACAATAATGATTACCTCATACCGTGCTCAAATACAGATGGTTTTGGCATGGTATGTTTACTAAGATTTTAAGACTCCGTACTTTTAATGAAATTGCCCATTTTTTTTGCCACAAATATCCAACGTTCATGATATAAAGGCATTGTTTCATACATCGCCACCTCGGCGCGTGTTTCTTGAATTATCAAGACTAAAATGGTGAACCTCATTTCAAACTATTACGTTATGACTTACAAGTTGTGTCAACTACTGGCTCAGTAGTCTGTTCTTTTACCGTACGTGTCACGGTGGTGCTTAGTGTTGCAGCTAACCACGTTGAAAGAGTGATGTTGGATGATGGTCTTAAGCTCGTTGATGTTGGTGCGCCAGCTGGGCTAGTGGATAACGTTGGTCTGTCAACTACACTAGTGGATAGTGTTGGTCTGTCAGCAACGCTAGTGGATAAGGTTGTTGACATGTCTGCCTCGGTGGGGGATTGCGTGGAATCAATCCAGGTTGAGGTGATGATTGGAAGCCCTGTTGATGCAGAACCATTCGTCACTTCTGGTTGATCCGTGCTGGCGACTGTTTTTCGTTCTGTGGTCGAGATGATCTGGTTTGTCGTTGCTGAGGCGGATGAATAAACCAAAGTTTTAGTGGAACCTCCAGGAGTTGAGTTAGTGGATATCGCTTGTCGTGTGGTAGTTACGCTCGAAGTGCCCGTCTGCTGATTTAAAGAATCTGTGGATGTTTCAGCTGGTCTGGAGCTTACTTCAGTATCAGATACAGAATTGCTCTCCGCGGCTGTAGAATGCAAATTGTCGAGTTCTTCGGTGACATTCTCCGTTTCTGTTGGATTTTCGTTAGTCGTTTGAAATGGAGTTACCAAGAAGCCGTTCGTAACCGTAGGTTTGGGAGTATTTGCCATCGTTGTCAGATCCTGAGACGGCTGCACTGTCGTGCCTTCAACTACGGCCTTGAGTGCGACCACGACACCCGGAATCGAGTTGTACAGTTCGTAGTCGCTGCTGTGCATGGAACCCTCCTCGTCGTAACTCAGAGACGAAACCAGCTGGGAATTCTCCTCCAAGAAGCAGCAGCCGTCCGAGCTGGTGGCTTCGCAGGGCGACACCTCCGCGCCAAGATTTGCCGATACAGCGTACGCGCCCTTGAAACCGGCACCGTGAACCACGACCGAAACTGCGAGGGGAACACCCGACGGAGCGGGGTGCTGGACAGAGATGATGGGGCTGGACTCGTCCGACTGAAGCGTCTTCTGTACGGTACAGAAGCCATCCAGTTCGTCGTACTCGTACTTCTGATCGGGAACCAGTGGGGAACCGTTTAAGGTAATTCCGTCGGTATCCTTGCACGGGGCGGTGACGGAGATGTGATGGTAGGCGTCCGGTGGGAGCGCTGGGGTCGACAGAAGCGCACCAGACCCGCTGACTAGTAGGTCAATGGGTTGGATAATGAGCATTGCAGGACCACCTACTCCTGACTCTACGCCCACGTGTTCATCAGCCTCGGTTCCCTTACTGAATTGCGCAACTAGAACCGGCGTCGATGAAGTAATGACGGCAACATGATCCCCCGCATCCCATTCGAATGAATCTCCTGCGGAGGCAAGAACAGCTCGATCACCGAAGCCTCGTATCATGGTCATTGCACACCCAGCGATGACCACGCACCTGTATCCCGACCTCCTCCCGGGGAAGGGAGCCAGCGCGTACACGGTTCCCCAAGCACCCACGGGCGGGAGATGCTCAACAACGTACCCCGCTGAACCAAACTCGGCCGGTATATTGGACCCTGACGAACCGGAAACTACCGAGATTGGTCGGTTAGCGCGGACCCGCGTACCGGTCAGATCCAGTGAGCTCTGAAACTGGGCGGTCTGAAAACGGTTCAAGGATATCTGCAAGTCCTCCCTGCCGTAGGGCGCATTATCAAATACCAAAGGCGCCTTCAGTTGGATGTGAACCACCGTATCGTCTTCAGCGGCCGATACGGTAAACAAAGACCATTCCCCTACGATCGGGGTGTATGAAACAACAAAGTAGTCCGTGCCTAGGGTGCCAGCGGACCGGACAAGAAAACCACCCGTTGATTTCCCATTGTCTGACAGCGCGAGCACGGTGACATCCTCGCTGGCCGTGACCAGGACAGTGTTGTTCTGAAGTCCGGAGCCGACTGCCTGAGATTCGAACGGCAACTCTACCGTCATCCCGCCCAGTTGAGCCGGTAGTTTCAGCACGCGACTCCAGTTTGAACTAACGACAGTCACGTTGACATCAGTAGGCCTTTCCTCGAAGGGTGTAATGCTTAGAGTAAGACGCGCTCTATCCGTGCTGGAAGTTGCAAGGCTTGGCTGGTACAAATGAGTTGGGAAAGCGAAAATGAACTCACGCCCTCTTCCGGAAGCAGATGAGCGCACGACTACAATAATTGCAGAAAAAGAGAAAGATATAAATAACCAATTAAATGATAATGAAAACCATCGTGATATCTGACTGTTTTTCTTAATAATGTGATTGAAATACCCGGCTTGTATTCACGTACCGTCCATTAAAAACATTATGAACTAGACAACTTTATTCCCGAGTCGGCCATACTTGGATCGAAAGTTAAACTCTTCATTTTTGGAACTTCCTAGTAGAAAATGAAAGCAATGAAATAAAAGTTCATTACAAATTAAGACCCCTGCTCTGATGAATAATGAAAAATTTGTGATTAAACCCTAATTTTTTACATCAGTACGTGTGTTTAATAGCTCCATGGTTGAGTGAAGAAGTCGACGTTTCGGACAGTGTGCTCTGTCCGTCCTCACCCTCCTGAGGACGGACAGAGCACACTGCCCGAAACGTCGAGTTCTACACTCAACCAACCGGTTTTTCAGAAGCACACTTCTTCCAAGAAGAGATTACCTTCCACATGGTGTTACCCGCAATCCTTATACTTATCTTATCCGCCATGCAAAGCTTAAGTCATATCAATTAATTAAAGTACTATTCAATCAAGGACGGGTTACGATTGTGCATATAGCCTATAGGCCTTTTTATAGTGGAAAAGATATAACCGACTTTGATAATGTTGGATGGCAACACTTAAATGTTCTGTCCAGACCCGTTGGCATAACTCTGTATGCGACATGTGTTCCAGAGTAGCGACTTGAAGATGATTGACAATTGCGGTTGTCATAAAGCCTCCCGTTTGATTTTGATCCGCCCTAGACCACTTCCCATTTCTGCGCCTATCAAACGTCCCTTTTCTCTCCCCCCCCCCCCCCCCCCCCCCTGTTGCCCCAGGTCTGATATAGAGATTTGGTCACGTTTTTCATGCCCCAGGGTGGGGATTTTGGTCACTCAAATTACATTGTTACCATTGGTGTACTAAACATGGATAGGCAATCACTAGTGCGCCCTTTATAATTATGTCGGGGCATGGTCAGGGATTGTCACTTAAATTTTGCCATAGGGGTGGGTATTTTGTCAATTCAAAAGTAACAATCCCCACGTCTTGGGTAGGGCAGCCCGGGGAGAGGGGTGGGGGAAACAATTATTGATAGGCGCATTAATGTATAACTCGAGGAAATGTTAAATTTGCAATTCCTAAAATGTTGACTTTGAAACCTAAAAATGGTTACAAAATATTAACCATTTGGTACAAATAAAAACAAATTGAGGAAAGAGGATAATGTCTGCCAGATGGATCGATATCCGACCGAGGCATCACCACCTGCTCATTGTCTGCAGGTTTTCATGAGAAGCTGGCGCTCAGCACTCGTAATAATGACTTGGGCCTTTTCTTTAATCACGACCTCATTTTGACAACTTCAAGGTGGATTTCCAATTTGGAAGAGAACGGGACACAAGCGCATCGGTGGACCATGGGACAAGTAGAAACAGCTGTGAAATCTCGAGCGAGATTGCGAAGCGATGATGAAAACTGCGTATAGCACTCGCACTCGCAAGGCTAATAAATTGGAAAAATTCTAGTCAGCAACTGCCGTGGAATATTTTCTGGCCAAATGAAACATCTGTCTTGAGAAGTGATTTTCTTTTTTATGAATATGAATGAAATGAGACCACGGGCAAGTTTCCGTCTCTTGAAAATGTTCTCAGGTAATTTTTGTGTTTAGCAACTGACACAGTTACGACGCCAAAACAATCTTTGTTTCAAACGTATACTATAAAACATTTGCTTTGCTGTAATTTTCAGAAATTGATGGATTTGGGAGTAGTATTTTATAGCAACCATGTTACGCTGACCTGTTTAAAGTTTTGTGTTCACAGATGGTGGAAAACCAAGAAAAAAATGTTGTTCTTGTAGTCTGGTTCCCTGACCCTACTTCAGACGACATGGAGCAATTTATAAACTCGGGGAATTGTCAGGTCAGGGAAAAGGGTATAGCTGGTTTGCCCTCGTTCACGAATGTGTAACCGATTGCAACAAAATGTGGACTTAAGTTGGTTTAAAATGTCAGTTCCCCCCAAAAAATCCACTTTTCTTGAAAGTGACAGCACACCAGGTGCCATGATTTCACAAGATGCTTGAGACTGTTATTCACTTATAGTCAAGTACCGGTAAGGTATTTCATAATAATTGGCATAGCTTTGTAATCTGATGTTTGCAAATGTTAATTGAAAGTTAATATGAAAGTGACTTAAGGTACTTCAATGCAACTTGAAAGAATTAATCAAGATTATAAAGCACATAACTTCTACATTTCCATTATTTTCTGATAATCTTTTTTTCAGCTGATTTTCAGGCTATACAACTATAGGACAATGAAATGCCAAAAACGTACAGATGGAGATCAGGGGGTTACTACGAAACATATCCCTATCCCTGGATATCTTTGATGAGCAACAGAATAATTAACACACTACATCTAAGATAAAAACCAGAAAGTGGACGAAAAGCAAAAACCTTACATTCAAAAGATGAAAATACTCATAAATCATTACAGAGTCTACAGATTCTGTCCTCAAACTCCTTAAATTAAAGAATCACAAAAAATGAACAAATTTTGGGAAATCGGTTATGCCAGAATTTGTGAACACGAGGCAAAATTGAATAGGCCTACTTCAATGTATATGGTCTACTCCAAAATGGTGCGATCTCTATGAGTACAGAGACTGAGCACAATTCCATATTTTCATAACTGGTGACTCACTTCGGGTCAATGTTTTCTGTCGTCCATGCAGACAATCGTCAGGAACGAGAAAACCTGACTGGGCTGCGATGCAATTTGATATGGCTGGGATGGTCTAGTCCGTACGGCGTTTGGGTGCATCGCGATGAAAGGGTCAGGTTCATTTTTAAAGGTAATGGATCTTTGCAAAAGATGTGTTTTAGCCAATTGGTAACTGTCGAAATTTCAGACAGTTGCCAAACTTAACTGTGCATCTTCATTTTTCTTGCCATGTAAACCACAGGTTTCCGTTGAAAGCGCGATGGTTTGGTCCTTAAACCATCTTGAGGAAATGATCCCGGTAATTCCTCTTTTCTCGAAAATGACAGCATATAGCCTACACCCTAAAAACAGATTGGTTGAACTGACCAATATATATTGGTACAGATATGTGTCCAGCCAAATCGAGATTGGTTGGACGCAATCCTACCAATATACTGGTTATTTCAACCAATCTGTTTTAGAATGTACTATAGGCGCAAGATCCCCACAGAATGCATGATCCCATTATTTCAAGTGGAACTCGTATTTCATGATATTTGGACAGTTTCATTTTGAACGTTTGCAGTGTCCATTACTTTAACGGTGTGTTCTACTTGGAGAATTATATGAGTACTTGGTTGGCTGTATGTAGTGTTCTGAGACAGTAAAAAAAAAATGCCTCTGTATAACACAGAGGACGGTAAAATTATAGCCTTTTTGACAAGGGCCAGAAGCGATAGGAGTAGAGCAAAGTCAATCTTTAGACTATTGTAGAATAGATGCTAAATAATTATTTGGAATTTTGGCTAGCCAGCGTATGCATGCTTGCTTTTTTGAGCGCATGTAAATTTTCGTCCTGGTTATGATGCGTACTCTTTGTTCGTCCATAGTTGATTGTTGATCGAACTTCGTAGTGACGCAAGAGGCGGCTCCATATATATTGTCACTTCCGGCTGCTGAAGTTTTCATAGTTTAAGTACACTTAGGCTACGTGGAAATTTAACATACAAAACACTGCATGTATTTTTTGATGATTGCTTGTGGATCTTTTTCCCAGTCCAGTTCTCAGAATGGCCGTCGTTATTTTGGTAGCTATGATGCAGAAAGGTTCGTCTGTGCACCGTGTGCCGACTGGAAACAGACGCAACCCACATTATCATTCCAGACTAAAAGTGCACTGCATGTGCCTGGGCATATCTCGAGTTTATGTTGTAATGTTGTAATGTTTCCACTGTGTTCCGCTCAGACTACATTGTACATTGTTTCGTGTCATCATGATTTTGAGTTTCTCTTAGTGGTTTCGTTTTGCATGTAAGGCCTGGGAAGTGCCTACGTCATCGACCTTCATAAGGGTGAGAATATTTCACGTTTCATTGCAACTAGGCCCCGTCGTGGATGAGAGAAAATAAATATCTAGAAATAGAATTTTGGAAAATACCCGACTATACTAAATATGCGCTATACGGAGACTTTCGAACCACTCTGCGTTGGTCGAGTATTTGTATCTCCATCTAAAACATCGTGTTCTTTCAGAAATAATATAGGCTATGAGCTGAGGTATGCGCTTACTGAAAAGGCTAAAGGAGTCGAAATAAGCAAAAACAACAAGCTATTCTGTAAAATCGAATTAAGAGCAAAAATAAACAGGTTATTATTCTTGGAGAGAAACGAAGTTTACCTCAGCCTGCCTTTTATTTTCAAATTCTCTGAAAATATCAATCCTTTCCATTATGTACAGCTAAGAAGCAGCATTCTGGCCTATGAGGCTATAGAGGAAAAGCAAAACTATTTTGTTCATAACTCACCGCCCATCAGGTTAAAAGTTAAGATGAACACGGTGAAGATCACACGTAAATCGAGACTAGTGGTCAGACAGTACAGGTAAGCCATGGCTGCGCGCCTAGTACGACAGGCTGGACGGAGCCCACTACGGCCGGTAACACCACTCAGGCACAATAGCTGCAAGGTGCGCTTCGTTGATGCTCCCACAGCGTGTTCCTGATGCCACATCCACCACTTGCTTTATCCTGACGCCAATAAACGTTCAATCCACCCCGCTTAATGACTCCGATTTGTCAGCATCCAGACGTCAATCAGGCATAGCCTGAATTGTGTATCTCCCAGGAGCCAGACTATATAGGCCTTAGACTCATGGAAGATGAGAAGTAAGACGAGAGACTAGAAGTAATCACAGACGAGCAGGCAGAGAGACATAAACGATTATCGAAATCCAGTTCGATCCGCCTAATTGCTGACAGACGCTATTTGTACACACAACGACGCAATCCAGAATGTAACGGAAATGACGATCAGATTTCAACATCCATAGGGCACTCGGTTGGTTTTTCCCTCTTGATGTACCAAGTTATTTACAAAAAGACAAGCACGTATCAAACATAATTTCCAAGCTATTCCTTGGTTGAATCCATGCATGCGTGAGAGCCAAAAATGAAACGCTGATGAGTGGATTGCAATAAATACTCGGAAAGATCATAATGGCATCAGCAGATGCAGAGTTGACGACCACAAGAAAAATTGGTAGACTTTCCAATGGATCTATCATCTAGTAGGTGTCTTAATTTTTTAAGTGGCGCACGAAATGGCTAGACGCAGTATACGTCAGAGATCGCACGTGGTATTTTCATCGGGTAGGCCTAATTATGGTATCAGATGGGTACATCATCATTACCTCACGGTCACATCTCGACCTTTATCGCTGTATCGCAGAGGTTCTTTATAAACTTCACCTTACTTGGGTTATTTAAAGTAGTTTTTTTCGGTTTTAAGTTGGTTTTTATAGCACATGGGAAGTCATTGGCTTACCAGGGGTTAAAAAACCCCGTTTTGCGTTGATCTCTCGATGACTCTCTACAAAGTGGTTTTCAATATGGCTTACGGGGACCAACGCGCTGGATCGAAGCGGAAGGACGTTAGTTGAGCGCATATAACCCTAAGTGCAAAAACACGACCCACTTTAATGAACTACCAGTATGAGTGTGAGGTCACGTGCGCTAAGTATATGACTATATGATTGCCAGATGGTTTCAGTGACGAAAAATTAGGAGGGAAAAATAAACAGATAAAGGTCAGTATCACAGGGAACAGATTTGTATTGACTCGGGCATGGGAAGTTAAGGTGCAGAGATCCATAGGCCAAACTTTTTACGGTTCAGACTTAACTTCTTTAAAGGTGAATTGAACATAAATTTCTTATATGTAGTAATACACACAAAATGTGTCTATAATTGCCTAGAAAGCTGGTGTTTACAGATTATTTCGTTAAACAGAGAAATACAATTGGTGATACACACCACTAAAAATGATGAAAGAGCTACACTACATCACAAAGATTGTCCCACCATATTCCGCCTGGCTCCGCCTCACCCACAGTAATTGTGCGTTACCGAAGAACCGGATGAATTAGAACCTTATTGTTTCTTGGAGAGCTTGACAAGAATTCGATCATTAATTTCGGCAAATGATGGGTCAAGTTTAGTATTTTTGTCCGAAATGTATATCGCGTTCATTGGAAGGCATACACAGAGCCTCACACTTTGCAAGATGGTCTTTGGCTTGTCGAGTGTGGTCACGATCAAAGCTATTTCTTGCTGAAAGTTGGTATAGCCATATAGCAAGGAATTGTATCGTCTAGGAATGACAAAATTGTGAGTTGCGGGTGCCACATGCATGATGAACGCTAGCTGCCCGCCGTTGGTATAGAAGATTTTAACAGCACCGACCTCTCCGTAAGGTTATAAGGTGACAGACTGGCCTGGTTGCGGCCACGCGCTGATTCATTTCACGAATGTCGTGGGATCCAGTTCGCGGTTCAAACGGTCTGGAGATCACACTGCATCAGTTAAGTCAGCAAACAGGAAAGCTAGCTCAGCTGATTACAGATGGTGACTAAAAAGCTGACATGTGGGGAAATGACAACGCATCACTGGCATGGTTTTATAAACATGACTTGTATGACTCTTGACTCGGACTTATCGGACTCGAGTCACACTCGATTCAAATTTTCCGTGACTGAAGACTCGGGCTTGGACTCGGACTCGAGCTTTGCGACTCGTGACTCGATCGGACTCGGACTTACGGAGCTCTGGAGATGCCATCCAAGATGTTGAGATGCTGAGATAAGTTTTCACGGGATAACGACATCCTACACGTAAGATGTCATCGTCCTGCACGGGATGATGACATCGTAAAAATAGGATGTCGACATCTCCAGGTAATGTATCCAGGGATAACGACATCACAAGAGTAGGATGTCGACAACCTGAGACAATTCATCGCGGGATGACGACATCCCGAAAGTAGGATTGCTTTCTCATAACTCCACTAAACGGCATTCGAAGGTATCTCGGGATGTCGACATTCTACTTTCAGGATGTCGTCATCCCGTTATACAGGGTGGATAAAAAAAACCCCGAAACCAAGATATTATTTCAAATTGGAACAGAAGTAGGGCACATGTAAATCAAAGGGAGATATCCTCTGTTAGGGTTGAATATCCTCTTTAAAATGACACCCTGATCATGTCATTACATTCACGGATGACTGAGCAGTGACCAATTTTATGAAAGGGTCTATTTAGAGAATTGTTGCACTTTTCAATTGTGGTTTTTGTTGTGTCAATTGTCACAGAGTGAAAGGCTATGGTTGCCAATCAAGGCAGGTGGGGGAAAAAGACATTTCACTATGAAAAGTGGCGCAATTTTCTACTAAGTACTAGACCCTTTGGTCCCTTTTATAAAATCGGTCACTGCTCATTCAATCCGGTGTAAGGACATGATCAGGGTGTCATTTATAAAGAGGAGATTCAACCCGAACAGAGGATATTTCTCTTTGATTCACATACCCTACTTCTGTTCCAAGTAGCAATAACATTTCGATTTCGTTTTTCGTTTTTTATCCACCCTGTATATTGTCTATATCTCACGATATCGGGATCCTACTTCAGCATGTGCTACCTGTGATCGATCCATCCGAGAGTGTTAGCATCCCTCATGTCGTCATCCCGTGATAAATTATCTCAGGATGTCGACATTTCGTGCAAGATGTTGTCATCCCGTGATTCATTATGTCAGGATCTCAACATCTAGGATGGCACCTCTGGAGTTCTGTACGGACTTGACCTGCATGACTCGGGACCCGTACTCGACCTCGGGAGAGGTGACTCGGACTCGGACTCAATAGTTGGTGACTCGAATACATTCAAGTCTGTTACAAACTAGTGCCTCTTTTGGTGAAACCATCGTCTTAAAGGCTATAAGGCCCAAAACAAATATTCGGTCTCTGAATTGACGCGGGGACGCGGCTTTTTTTTTTTCTTCATAATTTGCCTTGGTGCTCTCGATCATTTGCCTTGGTGCAATTTCCCATTCCTTGGTGCTCTTTGGTAAAAAAAAATTGAGGAGGTGCGGCAATAAAGGGCGCTGTTGGAGCTACCGCGGAACATTTTGGAGAAAAAAAAGATTGACGCGCATGATTAAAATCGACGCGCGCGCTGACCAGAGACCGACTTATTTTTTTTTTTTTGGCCTAATACTAAAACTTTTTTTTTATAACCAATGCTCCCGACAATTGTTTGAAAAACGGCACAGAAATAACAATCTGGAAATTAGACAGGAAATTAGAACAGGAAAGTAGACTGTGAGACCCCCACCCCCCCCCCCCCCCCAAAAAAACCCCCAACAATTTGAAAACAAGGGCATTATTGTTTACCCCGGTCCAGTAATTGTTAATTTGTCAGTGAATGAGAAAATGGTGATATGGGGCGCGCCCTTTGTAATTATTGCAGCGCATTTTGGACATGTTTTTACCAGGGTTTATTATTAGATGCGCCATAGAATGAATGAATGAAATGAATCCTGGTTTGCAACAAAACCATATTGTTTACAGCTAGACTGAATATTTTTGCACATAAACAATATTGTTCAATTGCACATCTAAACGATATTGTTTGCACATAAACAATATTATTTGCACGCCAACATTGCTCACGTGCAAACAATATTGTTTATGTGCAAACAATAATTGTGAAGGAATATGCAAACAATATGTAACCAAATAAGGTTAATCAAGTAATCTGGACCCATTTTTCATCCCTAAGAGTGAAATTAGGGACTAGACGTTTTAGAGTGAAAATCACTCTCATTTTCGATCAGACACGAAAAATGAACCACTTCAATCGAAGCTCGAGTGAAACCTTGATCTTTTTGATTGAAGAAATTTCACTCTAAAACGTCTAGTCCCTATAGTTTCCGACTGTGGGAGTGAATCTTCACTCGAATGGAGTGAATTTTCACTCTTTAGAATTTAGAGAGTAATACTGAGAGGTCTAGGTCTATTTTGGCGTGAATTAAAGGATAAATGTAAACATTTTCGTCGTGCACCATGTCCAACATTTACTGGCAAAGTGCCAACTAGCATCAGCAGGTCGGGAATTTCCTTCATTTCGAAACATCCTGAATAATAAATCATCACGTGCAAAAGTTCAAGCGCCAATTGTATTCGGTCATCGCCATAATGGGGCAGACTAGAGGAAATATTTGGAGGAAATGTGCCTTTGATGATACTAGCTTTGAATTTGGTTGAACATGTGTAAGGCCGTCGCAGATTTTTCCTTTTCAAAAACTTTAGGTAGAATGATACTACTAAACAAGAAATTTCCCATGACATACATTATGTCATTAAATCATTAGATTTATTAAATCATTAAATTGGACTACGGGAAGGGCGCCCCAAGGCGTTAGGTAGGTAAACGCGCTGGTAACTTCACGGAACAATTTTGGGTGTTAAATGCGAGCGGGATTTTAGGAGAAAAAACTGACCGGGGTCGGGGATATTGTATCCAAGCGCTAAGTTCTTACTTCCACTCCTAAAAATTCGTAAGAATGAAACAATTAAAGTCATTAATATTAATCAATATTTAATAAATTAAATAAACAACTAATTTTAAAAATACTGTTACTAATTCTTGTTGAGAATTAGTCATAAACAATAACACACATGTTGCGTTGAAAAATGGAAAGATATTTCAGGAAATTAAAATACCCGCCCCACAGCTCATTAGCTTAATACTACACATGTACAATTGTCAAATTTCGAATTTCTTTTGGAGGCAACTTCGGCATTTCCCCGGCCCCATGAAGCGCAATGAGTGGTCAGTCTATCAAACGGAGAACAGCCTTTTACCTATCCAACGCTAAAGGCGCCCTTCCCATCGACAGGAAAAAGCCGTCTGTTGTGATCCGTCGTGTTGCTGACTTCTTTGCGTGATATGAAGAGATATGCTGACGGGCACCAGACGCTGAACATAAAACATGTTGCCGTGCAATTGACAGCTGCGAAAAAAACAGTAAAGAAAAGGCGAGTAAAACCATCTTTCCATTTTTTGATTTAGGCGAGTAAAACCATCATTTGATTTTAAAATAAAATAAGTGTTAGAGAATAAATTGTATTTGTATTGCAATTAGGCCTACTTGACTATTCTAGGTCAATGCCACTTGCCAGTTTTGTCGTACAGTCGTTTGAACCGGTTCCGCAATCGCAAATCGTCTGAAGCGTCTTGTGGCGAAAAAACGCGCTTTCTCGGGAAGCTACCTATCTATAAATATGCGCAAATTACTCACCTACTTCATGATATGAATAGTTTTCTGTGATCGTTTGAAAGAGAAATTTGCCAGGACATTTTGTAGAGGTCGGTGCTTTGACCGGTTCCGCAAATGTTTTCCGGTTTCGCAAACGGCGCCCTCTGCGAGACTGGACTGGAAATATTCCTTGTTTACTGGCCAAATCTAGATCGTTTTTGCCCCCAAACCTGCCAAGAAAAGATATGGATTATATTTCCCTGTGCATGAGCCAAGGTCTGCACATTATAATGCGTCCAAATTTACAAAATGGAACTCCATGAAAATGTTATGGTTCGTTGGATTTTTTTTACGTTATAATTATTTGACTTGCCTCAATCCAATTAAATGACTTTCTTGCTTTTTGTGCATTCTGTCTATCATCTTGCAATCACTAATATTTTGCTTTTTTGTTGTCTTATTTTTATTTAGACACACTCTGACGTTGGATAGAACCAGACACAAACCTTGTACCGAATTGCTCCAGTTGGTTGTTTTTTCTCACATAAGCATAGACCAGCTATTTATGAATTTGAATTAATATTTTCTCCAGGATCATTTTTAATTCCTATGACACTTAAGGAAGTGACTGCATGGCTGGATGAATTGGAACTGAATCATTGTCTGCAGGGGAGCACTGACACTGTTTATTAATATTATTTGTTTATTTAATTATTATTATTTATTTACTTTTGTTTATTCCCTCCTCCTTTTTTTTTATTTTACTTTTTTGTGGGGGGGGGGTGGGGGGGGGGGGGGGGGGGGGGGGGGAGTGTTTCAATTTGTTCAGGGTAACAACACAATATGCTTAATTTTGTGTGCACCAACATCCAGTAGGGGGAACCTGGGGGCTGGGAAGGGAAGGGGGAACAGGCCTCAGCAGGCCAGATACATACAGGCCACATACATGCACATATTGTTTCACATTCAAATTAAATTTCACAAACAAATTAAAACAAGTTGTTAAAAATGTCATAAATCCTATGGCTGTTTCATAGCAATGGCAATTTCTAATTATAATGTTCAGTTACTCCTCATACGTTGTTGCACATATTAACTATGTACATGTATCATGCTTGGCAACTGTATTAGCAAACCTCATCTACTGTTCGGTGATGCTCTTAAAAGAAAATGTCAACACATTCATCACGTGTATCCCGATAACCCTTTCAATATATTGACATGTGATACCTGCATGTTTTAAATCCAAAAATATACGTGTCATATAAATAAATGGTGATGAATCACAGAAATAGACATGTTCTGTGAGTTTTTCATGCAAAGTAGCATAGTTTTTCAAACACCTCACTTCTCTTTCACATGTACTGGTTAATAAAAATGTATGTAACGCCTTTAAATTTATTGCCTTTATGACACCTGCATGTCTGTTTAATTGTTATACAGAAATAATTTAAGCACTCCAGAAGCTAGCACTATACAAAAAACTTGTCACATAAATAAATTAATTCAAAGAAATGGTGATGAAGACACACAGCTACATGTACTTTCACTATAATATTCAACTTCTTCTTGACCTTCACAGGTAAAACTGAAAAAGATGTGCTGATGGCCTCTTATGGCCTATCAGGAGGCTGGCGTAATCTTCTTCTTTGTCTTTGGCATTGTCTGTATGAAAAAGAAATTTTATATAAACGTTTAGTTTATGACCAATTGAAACAAAAATGAGAAATGGTTTATAGTATTTGACAAATTTTGTGCTCCAAGAAAACAATCAAAATTTGTGTCTCTGTACTGACGAGAGACTGGTGTTCATTATGAAATATTAGTGGACCTATTTTTCTTTTTGTTTAAAAGGGTAAAGAGTAAGATTAGAACCCACCGAAAAAGGATAATTTTAAATTTACTAAATTACTGGAAATGTCCTTTGGGTTAGAAACATATTATTATGCACTATTCTTAATTGGTCCCCACAAACCTCACCTCCTAGCCTGGGCTGTCTCATGCACCCTGGATGTGGAGAGTTGTAACTCTAAAATGGATTCAAACCCCTTAGGCACAACCGCTTCAACATCAAGTATGGGGTGAATTTTTTTAGAGCAAAGGAAAAGCGTTTAGTGGGAAGTATTAAGAAAGATTTTTGTATTTTAAATTTTGAAGTCCAAATTTTTTTTATCCAAAACCTTCAGTGCTGTCCGGAAGCTGGACAGAAACAAAATCATTTTGTTTCAATTTAGTTTTCAATTTTTTGCACTGAACACCCAGAAATGATCATCAAATTCGACATTTTTAAACAAGGATTAATAGAAATTCTCAATTTCTTTGTAAGTTGTAAAAAAAAAAAGATTCATGCCAAAATAAATAAAGTGCACCGCGCTAGGGGGCCGTCATCAACAATACTTGTCAATAGCAGCACTGGTTAATACAGTCACACCATGGCCAGTGTATTGTATAGGCAGTATGAATGCGTTTGCGGAACCGGCCAAACGACCAGCAGTTACTCTGGTGGTATAGAAAAAAATTCAAAGACTTCAAATCTTATATTTGTATGGTGGAATAATGACTAATTTCCGAACAAGTTGCATCAATCGCCATGATTTAATTCCCCTGAACAATCGTGTAGCAGGCCGACAAACATGAAATCACGCTTCCGTGCGCGTTCCATTTCGGCAGTTCGTTAACGGCAAGTGACGGTCGTAGGGGATTTATTTTTAAATGCAAGTGAGTATCCTAAAACTAAAACCATTTTTGAAAAGTAAATGGAATAACCTTTCCATCGATACCAAAGTTTAAGTCCTTGGCGTTTTCGTCTTCCTGAAAACGAGAGCTAGTTTTCCGAAATTGCGGAACTGGTCAATTTGCGGAACCGGTCAATTGACTGTAACAAAAAAAAAGGAAGACCCGGAAGTGGACCCAGCAGTGCAGCAGCCCAGCAGCGGCAGCCCAGTTCCGGGGGGGGGGGGGGGGGGGAAGCTATTATTTGTAATTCAAAGTGCAGTGGCCTCATGGTCTGGGGCAATGAATGGAAAAAATGTTGCAATCTGACGCCACTTTCGAAACAAAGTATTAATGAATTACGCAGTGGCTATCGTTACGGCAGCCGTAACGCATTTCCCATTTTCTATCGTTACGGTACTACTGCAACTTTTATAAAAACATGAGAAGAAAATTTAAAATTAGAAGGAAAAAGTGAATTTTAACGTTATGAAATTCGGACTTTATTTCCCTTTTAAAAAAATCCTCCAAAGCCTCGGGTTAGAAAAGGAAAAAAATTCAAGTGCAAAACTGAGATGCGAACCCGCAACCTCGCGGTGCAAAATCTTACCCTCTATCGACTGAGCTGTCGCACTGCTCGCTAAAACATGGGGAAACAAATAATTATAGGCAGTGGATATTTTGCCGGAGACGGCAAACCTTCAGTAAACGTTAGTTTGCCGGATATGCACTGAACATGGGCAGTTACTGTTTTTTGGCTCCCCTGTACATTTTCCGGCGACAAATTTTAGTCTGGCTCCATGCCAATACTATCGTTGTATTTTTATTTACAAGATGGGAATCAGACCATTTTATAATTTCGGACTTTATTTCCCTTTTAAAAAAAATCCTCCAGAGCCACAAATCTGAAAAGAAAATGTAATACCCTGCAATAAAATGTTTGAGACATATTAAAATAATAAAAGAAGAATATTCTTATTTATTTGGGGATGGGAAAAAAAAACCTTAAAATTGTGGCGGGAATCAGGATTCGAATTCGGGACATCCCACTCACTAGAGCAATTGCCTAACCACTAAACCGACTGTGCTACACAACTTTGGTGGGAATTTAATACATATTATAATTCAGCCCTATCTTAAAGAGTACAGCGCCCTCTGTTGATATGGATTGCTGCCGGCAAACCTTGCTTTAGTAAACGTTAGTTTGCCGGCGTTACCTCCGGCAAAATATCCACTACCATAATTATATACCTGCGTGCGTATCAAAAAGGTATCGTAGAGGGCGCTAAACAACGGCTGCCGTAACGATAGCCACTTTGAATGAATTAAGCGTGTTAAGCAGTGCTGTGCTGTGGATCGTTAATATCACTTCAGGGAGTAGGGCCTAACTATATAGAATGCAGGGCCATGCTGGAAAAGGTTTTTTGGTAGTTGGATGCGATGTGAGGAGTGGGGTTGTTGAGTAGAATGGCACTCTTTTGAGAACGAAGCAGTCGTTTGTTGACCCTGGTAAAAAAAAAAATATTACAGATTTGTAAGGAGCACAATGGCAGCATTACTGATGTGAAAACCTCATGCGAAAACCTCATGCTGATAGTCTGTAGCTAAAATATTATGGAAGTCGTTACACCAAGAGATGTGATGAAGTGATGTGATGAAGTGGCCCGATTTTGGCCTGTATCTCCAAATAAAAATTCGCGACAAATGACTCATTTAGCTTGATCGCATCACATATGCTTTTTGGCATGCATAGAACCCAAGTGTAACATCATTAACTTGAAATAATAAAAATTACTCTTGCATTGAAACAGATACTTCAAACAGTAAGGTATTCATACGTACTTGGGCTTAGCAAGATGCTCGGCTTATCGTTAGCAGTGTGTGCCGGATTGTGTGCAGCCTGTGCCTCGGCATTTGCCAAACTGGCCATGTCGGGAGAGGAGATCGCCCTCGTGTGTCAGAGCCTGGAAGAGTCTGTCGCCATGGGAACGCTGATGCCCAACTGCTCAGTGGTGAGTCAAGATGGCAACCTGAACCAAATTTCATTCAGTGAAACTCATTGAGCTGCTATGAAGTTTTGAATAATTTAGTATTCGAACATTTGAATATCCGAAATGCACTGATACGTTTAACATGCTCCAGCCTAAGCTGGCCGCTGATTGGAATTAATGTGTGGAAAATTGACATTGAGCGTATTAACATAATAATAAAGAACAGTTACTGGGATGGCTTATATTTGACTGATTTTAAACAGAAAGTTGAGCTATAAAGAGCAGTTAACCTGGTACCACCGGTTATACTAAGGCCAACTTATAATCATTATGCGTTTAAGGCAACACAATTCCCCAATATTTCTATAGGCTGGCAATAAACGTTTCACCATTCATAAAGTCTAGGACCTATAAATTATCTGGATGCTTGTCATCACGTAGATCACACACTATCTATCATAATTTGTGAACAATTTCAAATTTTCGTCAAAGTATTCAAAAGCATTGTAGATGGTTTTTTTTCACCCGCAAGTTGTATGTGTTTAAATCTTTTGGGGTCATTTTTGAACAGGTCACGACAGTTCTACGTGGCATATCATTCTCCCTTCTGTTTCTCTTCAATGCAATCATGTGGACCTTGTTTGTCAAGTCACTACAGCTAGCCAGGTCATCACTAGAGGCAACGATTACCAACAGCTCAGCTAACTTGTTCTTTACAGTAAGTGCCCCCCAACCCAACCAAAACTTCCCAACCCCCTCTATCCACCACCCCCCTCACCATTCCCCCCCCCCCCCCCCCCATCCCCCAACCCCTCCCCCCCCCATCCCCCAACCCCTCCCCCCCCATCCCCCAACCCCTCCCCCACCCCAACCCCTCCCCCACCCCTCCACAAAAAAACCTTTGATATCATTGAAATATGTTGTATGTAATTTTCTGTATATACAGATGCAGCACCTTGATTGTGAAAATTTGGCTCAAATGAAATTTGAATAACATAGGAGCAATCAATTAATTCGCAACTCAAATCACAAAAAGTCACAATGATAACTGTTTTTGTTATAGTTTTATTGGAACCACTTGTGCGTTAATACTGGTTGACTCAATTTGTAAAGTCTTGCCAAATATTTTTGTAACCTGTTGAATTTTGAGTGGTCAGAGAGTTACAATTGCATGGGTGTTTCACTTCTAAATTAGATTAAGTCCAAGCAAAGGTCCCCCTTTTTGGCCCATACATAAGGCCATGCTTTCTTTAATTACACAATCATCGCGACGGCTAATAACACAAAAAAAATCTTGTGGACATTTCTCGTTGCAGATGCCCTACAATAGGGAAAAAAACACTGAAATCCATGAATATCTTAGAGGGTTAAACATTTGTTACGTATCGGATTTGCCCATTATTTGGTGGATTTCTCGTAGCCGAGCGGTTAGAGCGTGGAGCTACGGAGTGGAAGGTTGGCTGTTCGAAGCCCATTTGGACCAAAAACTGGAAAACTCTCTCTCTGACGACCCAACAGTAAAATGGGTACCTGATTCGTTCAGGGAAGGTAAGACGGCGAGAGGAGAGGACTGGGCCCCGCCACTCATATGCCGCGCCCAAGACACAGTGGACCTCTAACATCCCACTGCCCCTACGGCCAGTAATGGCTATGGGATTTTTACCTTTACCTTTACCTGTTCATCTAGTCTTTCAGGTATCATATGATATTCAATAAATCTGAAGAGATTTCATCTTAATTTCCTCTAGGCAGTGATTGGTTATGTGGTATTCGGCGAGGCGTTGTCGCTGACTTGGGGTCTGGGATCCACATTCATCATCCTGGGCCTGTGGATGATTCACAGGGGCGGAAGGACCAAGGACGAAGCTAAGGAAAGGTGATGGACTGCGGCAAACAGCGAATGGTTTGAAGGTTCGAGGTCGGCTTATTTAAGAAATGTTGAGGGCAGTTTGTGAAGTCTTCTCATGAGAGTCAAGTGAGTGCACTGTAATGGATCTAAGAAGGACCTGTTTTAACCACTTTGTGCCAGGATTATTTTTGCCGAACATTTTGCTTGTTGGCACAATTTTCCAGCCAACTTCTGATATATGGCCAAAACGCCACAAATACTGATTCGCTAGAGTAATTTCAACAGTATTTGTACGATATTTCTTGCTGGAACCTCATATGTTTCAACACTCCGAGGTGGGCACTGGAGTGTATATTGTACAACAATAGAGAGGTTTCGCATGCAAATGGATACGTTTAGTGCGACGGATACGTCATCAGTTATGACGTCATACGCCACTCACTGTCCGCTAAACGTGCAGACGACACGCATATCTCGCTCGCTACACGTAAGTAAAAACGGATACGGATAGCTATAAACGCAAGCGTAAGCGTATCCGTTCGCTTGCGAAACCTCCCTTTTAGGCAGTACACAGCGACCAATTCAAGATCAACACACAGTCCACCTCCACAGACTTCACTGACTTTGTGTGTGTGTACAAAAGGCATGAGGAATGAGCGTGTTTAAACGTCCCCAGAGTCGAGTCGAGGCAATCTGGACGTCTTAACCTGTCAGCTGTGCCTGTGTATAAAAACGACCAGTGCGTGTTATCACGTCCTCCAACGCGAACGAGTTATAAGGGCACTATGTAATCTACTCACCAGACCCTATGGCTCCGTTCACAAAAAAACCTCCACGGTTACAGAGAGTTGGAGGAGAGTGCTCGAAGGGACATCAGAATGCTCACGCGAGAAGACGCTCAACAGTTTGTGTGCACACTTAACAATAAAACTAAAAATTAAATGATCTCAGAGCAAAATCTTCAAGTAATTCTGTTTTTAAAAAGTGGATATTTTTATGAAATTATAAATTATAAACACACGTCAAAGTCAAAGAGTTAGTTTATGTTTTAAAGGAGTCTGATATGAGTATATTCAAGATTTACTTTGATTAATACCACCTTGAAACTGAAATGTCTGACCTCTGACAACGTGGCAGATGACCATCTGGTTCCAACAAAAAAATTCAAAAATAAAGTGAAATGTCCTTGGTTTGTTCAATAGATAATTGACCTTGAACGATGTACGGTGATATATTAAACTGTATGAAATACATGTCATGCACAATCTGGAAGAGCGTCGTTTTTAACTGGTTTTGCTTTATAACAAACTAGAAAAAAAATATCAACCAACAAATAATTACTTATGATGTATCTGAACCCCACCCCCCCCCCCCCCCCCCCCCCCCCTATCCCCCCCCCCCCCCCCCCCCCCCCCCCCCCCCCCCCCCCCCCCCCCCCTCCCCCCCGCCCATGTTTCACCCTGGTAGCTGAAAAACATATTTCCAGTTTTTCCCAACCACTTAAAACAGGTTGTTGTCTGTCTCTGAAATAAGACTTGAAGCTAATTGTTTACAAAATAGGAACATATGGTCCGGTGAAATGGCTAACCAATAGAGTTATGAGTGCCTTTGATATGCCACTTGTATTACTCACGATCCAGAAATGTGTTTTTGTCGAGAACCTGAATTCTCCATAAATAGGGACGCCACTGTCCTGGGTGATTTAGTTGACTGCATCAGGGTGAATCGGACTCTGTTTCTTCACATCAGTGTCTGCTTGAACAGTGTTAAACTGTTAAAAATTTAAACCTGTCGGCAAGATGAAGCTTAACTGCATCATTGCCATCCTCATTCTGGGTCTGGTGGACGTGGCGCTCGGAGGACTGCGTTACCTTGGTAACTACATTTGTTTTTTTACTAGTGATGGGAAAAATCAGAGATTTCAAAATCTGGCTTAAATCAGAGATTTCAAAATGCGGTTAAAATCAGAGATTTCAAAATCCGGATATCTTAATTTTTTTCAAGCGGTTATCCAATTTCACCTCAAGTTCCCATTCAGCTCACAGGCATTCCAACAAACAGTGACAAGTGAGGTGTCCCATGCACTGCCAACCACGATTATTGGGTATAGTTTGCTGGATTCAGTGACCACCGGGCCTTTACAAAAACACTCTATAGAGTTGTAATGGTTATAAAAATGGGCGGGAACTCTCAGATTAGTCAAAAGGCAGGCTACTCATTGACCAAAACGACCACTAGCGAGTGAATGCGGTTATAGCACGGCAGATAGGTGATGGGATTGTACGTTTGATGATACAAGAACAGAATTTGGCACACAGTCAGAGTATATCATGAAAAAGATATTTGGCTACAGGGCCATGGCAGATTTGTCCTCTGAAAAAAACCTAGGTAGGACATAGGTAACAAGCAGTTGCAGCCATTTTGAAAATTTTGAAAATTGCTTGTTATTGTACCTATATTTTTTCAAAGGACAAATGTGTGATGGCCCTATAGCCAAATATCTCTCTCATGACATACTCTGTGTGCCAAATGCCATGCTTGTATCATCAAAGGCACTATTCCCTAAACATTTCCCCTATCTGCCCCACTATCACAATCAGAGACCGTGGAGCAAATTGGGGGATGTTCCAGTTTCTTCAACTTGTGCTACACAAAAATGAAAAGCTTAATTGTTTAAGGTCGGATTCAAATACTTGGTTTCCAAAATAAAAACCGAATAGTGAAACTTTAACCGAATTTAACAAAATACAGATTTTAATCTCACCACTAGATTTTACATCTTGATACGATCCATTTTATTTGATAGTCCAACATTCAAGGATTTTCCTACATTACAAGTCAAAAGACAGCTTTCAGCCAAATCTTTCACGTTCTTTAAAAAAATTTACTTGTACATTTTCCTTTTTGTACCATCCTGAAATTAGTGCTTAAAATTAGTACATCACTACACAGTGAAGACAAATCACAAGTCATGGCACAAGTAAGGAGGAAGGAGGGCGGAAGAATAACAAAAGGGTTGCCTCTCCCCCCCCCCCCCCATGTCACAGTTCATTTGAAAAGCTTGTAACTGGATGACTTGTGATTGACTTGTGATAGACTCGTTTACAACACTGCCTAAAACTCCTTCTTTGTCCTACTTTGGTAGATATTGTTGTGGATCTTGTCCGCATCGACGTGCCGCCGATTCCACCATCTACGATGGCGGCATCGCGCCGGTCAACTTCTGCACCTACTTCACACCGGACAACGGCGCCGCGATCATCCTGAATCGCTTTCAGAGCGAGCGCTACAAGCTGACGGCCTTCCTCGCAACGGACGGCAAGGGGTCCAACCCCACGGCGGTCACAGATGCAGTCATACCATTGGCCGACCAGCTGCAACCAGTCACTGATGGCAAACAGTTTGTCTCTTCCCTAAAAAAAAGTTGCTTTTATAAGAATCCCAAAAATTAGTTATGTACCATTAAATTTTCTATAATAGTTTCCTAACCATTTGTGAACCCTCCAAAATCCACCATTGTGCTGGAAACAATGTATTTTTCTTTATATTTAAAATGGGGCGTCGTGCTTCATGTAATAAAATTATAATGTGTATTTATGAAGCACACGTATCCACCAATCTTTGGTGCTCGAGGCACTGCTTCATTATTGCCCTGCTCATTGTGCCAATAAAAAATTCCAACTAGCATCTCAGTTCCCCTGGGAGTATACAGCTCTATACTGCCATGAGATTTTCGGCACAAAGCAGCTATAATCAGCCACAATAACCATCTCTGCCCTCACGGGTACCAATATACTCCTGGGTGGGGAGAAGCGATTAGCATCAAAGTGCTTGCCCAAGGGCACACGCACCATAACTCCAGGCTGGATTTTTAACCTACAACCTGCAGAATTACCTGCAGACCACAAATTCAATGCTCCAGACCACGGCGCTAATGGCATAGTTTCAGTGTTCTACTTTCTAAATCCTACAAAATCTTGAATCACTCTAAGAGGTATCACTGAGGGTTATGGATTCTATTTTTGAATGGGTTCAGGACCAGGCTTCTTCTATTGTGAAAATAAGGGCAGGGTTGAAAAACAGCAGACAGAATACAACCAAATTTATTTTTTGAATGTCCTATGGATCGATAGTTTGCTATGTTGATTTCCCTAGGTGATTCTCTTTGATGCTGATGTGGCGTTTGATCTGACAAACGTGGACTGCTACAACAATCACTTCCCCTATGCCTGCGTGACCCTTGGCCCAGCGATACAGTGGCTAATCACTGGCAGCCCAGCGCCTCATCTGTGCTGACCAAGTGTGTGCCCATCATCTGTAAACCTGGTAAGTAGCCAGATTTATGGGGTAGAGTAGGGGAATCACAACAAGTTACAGCTCCTTTATTAAAACTTTGCACGAGGGAGTAGAAATTTTATATATATATAAGCATATATTGATTTTATAATAGACTCTGATGTCGTTCCAAACAACTGCAATAGTTGACGTAGCCACCCAATCTGTTTCAAATCTTGTACTTTTCATGTACTGAATTCTAACTTAGGAACAATTTATTTTCACGCAACTCTGGAATGCCAGTCTGGAACACGTACAACTCTTATCACGAAAGCTGCTAGAGAGAGAAAGAGAAAGAACGTACCTAATCTATTCGTATTCCCCACTTGGATAGGCCTACAGTCCTATACTTTAATACCTGGCTTACTGTCAATAAGTTCAGAGTTCATAGGTTTTCTTTTATTCCCACAGAACCCCTGAAAGTGGACCTAGACTACGTGGATGTTGACATATACCTCGCAATGCCATCATAGTTGACGGTGGCAGTCGTAGACCTGTCCCTCTGCGTCTACTTCACCCCAAAAGATGGCGCGGCCCAGGAGTTGAATGCACTTGGCGCGGTCGAGCGCTACAAGCTCGTTGCGTTCCTGGCTACCACACCAACGGCGGGGGCAAGACCGCACCCGTCACGGGAACCATCCACAAACTGGACGCAGACCCAGGTATTGACAGACGGGAAACAATTCTCGTTCTACGATGCCGAGTTTTCGCTGGATCTGTCCGTGTGGATTGCCACGGCACGGCGCGTTCCCGTACATCTGCGCCACGCTTTCCCCCCGTTGGGGCCGTGGAGCTGGCGGCTGGTTCTGTGCGAACAGTCTGCACACCCATCATTTGTCTTGGTAAGTTGAATGATTTCCCAAATTTGATCAATGCACTACTCCATTGAACATTATTGGAAGCCGAGGATTT